AATGTTATTGTCATTGCCTGATTTACACTTGCAAATTCCATGCTTTTAACAACCCCCAGGTGTTTCTTTAATTAATTTTTATTTCATTAATGTCAGCAGTGCTTTTAAATCTTAGTATTCTTGTAGATATTTGATGAGTTTTTATTTTCACTATAGATTTGATCAGTTGGTATGTTGATCATAGGCTGGTATGTTTTTTTTTTTTTTTTCAACAACATTATAGCATTTAGTCTAACTACAAAACCAAGCAGTTAGTTTTAACTGATTGCAGTCAAGTTCTAATCATCAAAGACCATGTTATGTTGAGGTACCAGTAAGCAGCTCGATGACATTTTTTTTGTCGAATATAAAATATGGGAGCCAAAATATAAATCTAAGCCAGAGCAGTGTCTTACCTGTGATTAGGCAACCAAACAGTGATTATACATATGCACAACTTTGAATTCTATATAAATGTATAAGTATAAAATTAGGCTTCAGTTGCCATAGAATTTCACAGAAGTCAGTTTGTTTACTAAATACTGCTTGCATATTGGTGAAAATAGTTTTTATGTAGTCAAATTGAGTTGTTTTTTTTTTTAAATCATTTTGTGAAAATTTAAAGCATGGGTCTGGTTTGTTCTGTGAACAACAAAGACCGATTTGGGGCCATTTTAGAAGTGGTGCGAATACGTCCTTCATAATGACGTTTGTTGAATGATTTCAACATGATGACCCATGATTAGGTCTGTCATGGGTTTATAACAAGATAAAACCCTTGTTCATATCAAATATAACTTTGCTTGAACATTATCTCTGGCCAATTTCTCAAAAGGAGATTTAGCCCTACAGTTGATCATGAATTTAGAACCAAAATTTGGTCTTGCCCAAGATAAACCCTTAGTAGCCCAGTAAGTTTTTATTCTGAAACATTAGCAATGTCCCACCTATCATAAAACGGGTCCATATTTAATTTGATTGGACTACTGGTGATTGATCTTGTGACTAAGTGGCCAAAAATTTAAGTGTAAGAGTTTAGTTGCGGAATAGTCCCCTGGTCATCTGATGGTTTTACTATGTCAGTTCAGTTGTAAATTAGATCTGATGTGAACTGTGATGAAATGTTTTTAGTCTTGATGATTGCAATCAGCCAAGGGTGATTGCAGGATACTCTGTCCAGCCAGGGTGATCAAAATTATCATACGGATGAGATTTTTCTGACTATCAGCAGATTTTTTACTTTTTGGCCTCGGCGGCCCCCTGGATCCCATGGCGTATTTTTTGACTTTTTCACCAAATGGCAGTCTCATCCCTCTATTAGTGTGGTTTACTGACAACTCAAAGGTATAAACTCAAAGATATTAAGCTGAGCTAGTCATGCTGTATGTCTGACTGTATTACTAAAACTGTGTTCCCATAAACCCATCGTACTAACTGGTTTGATTTAACTCTGCAGGGCTTCTCTCCAAAGTGCTTTCATTGTAATCAACTTAATTGTCTGGCACGTCCCCTTTAGAAACTAGGGGGTAATTAACTATTGTTAATTACCCCCTAGCACCTTGAGTAGGCCTGTCGGACATTTAAGCTGGTTACACCGAATGCAAGTTGGTAAAAATCTCTGCAGAGTTAGATTGATCCAACTAGTACGATGGATTTATGGGAATGCTCCCTAATATAATCCTTTAGTGAACAATGCTCAAGGATTTGCTGTGTATGTGTAGTTAGGTAACTATTCTATAAATTTGACCAACGCATAATTATCCCTCCCCCTCCCTGCCCAAAAAAACATTGACAAACATAGTTGTCAAATATTTTGTAAAATAAAGTGGCTTTGTGCCTGTCAGTACGTTGTACATGTCTGAAGGAGATAATTTCTTTTAAAAAAGTAAAATATTAGAAAAAGGAAGGAATTTTAAAAGTCATAACAGTACAGAAGTGAACTTGGAAAAGAGCAGTGCAGCAACATGGGATATAGATTATGGGGCTGAAATTCACTGTCAGGTGACCCTAAAAAGAGGAATTTTCAATACTCAAATTGTACATGAAAACACATCCTACCGGGTCATATTCAAGTGACATTTATGCCATTGCAATTTATCCCAATGAAGGCAGATGCTGCTTTCCCCCCTGACCTGGTGTGAGAGTGGAACACCTGTTCTTTTTCTATGATTAAACATCTGCTGTCATTGGGTGGCAGAAAGTAGGTCAAGCCAAGTGGTATTGACCTGTTTAGCTAGGTGTGGACATATGTATATGCCTACTACAGTTTTATGTTGTCAGAGTTCAAGTTGGCTCAGGCTAGATTTATGCACACTACAAGGTTCTCCTGTTTTACTCAAAACTTTCTATGGGAAGTGGGTTTTAATTTTTTAGGCTGAATTTTTGATCTACATCAGTTGCAGGTTTGAGATAAATGGGCAGAAGCCCAAAGTATTAGAGTAAGTAATGGTCTAAAATGTTAGCCATGTGGCCTTCTTTTTTGTGGTAAAACAACAATGAGAATTCATTCAGTTGAACCACTGATGGTTGATCTTAGGTGAAAGTGAACTTAATTTTTTTCCAAAAGTTAAACCAGTTGTCAAATTTAAGTAGCATTGTGTAACAGGCTCTTGGTGATTACCTTTGATACACTGGGACACACTTACCAAACATGCCCTAACTATCCCTTTCTTTTAGCATTTAATAAGTTAAGGCTAATTTTTCACCTTGATCAACTTGAGCAGTAAGGGATGTTTTACTTTTAGTATAAATTACAAAAATAAAGTCTGATGTGTATGTTAGTCTTCAGACCTTTGGGTGTGACTTGACAATTGACAGATTCATCTTGTCATTTATTTGATGTACTTTACAATATCCCTTATTATACACTCAGTATGTGCTTGTCTAATTCTTCTTCTGAAATAGCGTGATTGTAGGAATATTGTAATAAGAGGGAAAGGACAGATTTTTCCCCTCAGACGTATCCCTATTGCCAGTTCCTTGAATATGGAGGAAGATGTTGCTCAGGTTACCTCCTGCTTTTGAGGTTAGTTTATATACACTCGACCAATAAAGTTCGGAAACATGAAATTTTTTTTCATTACTTAAAAAAATGTAGTGTAATGGGAAAATCTTTAGTGTATAATATGTATAAAGGTAACAAAAATGGGTGCATTATCTGTCAATATTTGATTAAAACATTTACCTTTGCTCATATGGTTATTTTATAATTATTAAAACTAACCAAGTTTGTTAACTTTTTTGGTCAAGTGTATATGATACATTGTACCCTACAAATGTCTTACTACTTTTTGTGAATCATCTCTAGAATAAGGATTTTGTACTAGTAGTTTTTTCCAATGTAGAGGACTGAAATAATTGGAACACTGTTGATCCAACGTTTTAATATTGATAATGCTGATAGTAGTGACTTATTGAGCAATTAGATGCTCAAGATAAATTTAGATCAGTAGCATTTCATCACTACAATGTAAATCTATGCCAAATGCCTATACATGATGTATTCTAAATTATAATAAGACTACATGAGTGATAATAAAAATGTCTTACACAAAATGATTGTGTGCCAACTACTGATAAATTTTCTTTTGTGGCCAAAAATGGATATATTGAAGAATCGAATATATACAACTTCAGAAGCTAGCTATATCTTGTTAGCCAGATGTAGGAAACCTGTCATTAACCTGAATTGTCCCACACTGCTGATGTATGACATGGCAAAACACTGATCTGAACAAGAAAAATAGATAGAAGGGTTAATTAAATCTCACAATGCAATGATGATGTATCTTTTATATATATATATGCAAAAATAGTTGCTACATCCTATAGCCTTGGATTCCACTAGAATATGGTATGTGGCCCTTTTCCTGTACAAAGATATTCGCTGGGTACAGGCAAGAATGTTTGATTCACCATGTAGCCTAGGACATTACTAGCATTTGGTATATGGTCTCTCTCTTTTAGTAAGATATTTGCTCTGTATAAACAGGGATATTTGATTCACCCTGTAGCCTCGGATGTCCCAAGCTTTTGGTTTAAGTGGTCTGGCTGATGTAGCACTGAGATAACCGAGGGAAGTAAAGAGACTGGCTGTTTACTCAAGTGTACAGTGGAAAGTAGGACAGGCACATAGAGGGAGGTTGACTGGTGCAGATCACCATCTTGAATTATCACTGGCTTCACCCCTTGTTGTCCGTGTGGGCCTGTGTTGATCATGGCTTTTAGGTATAGATTTTAGTGTTTGATCACCTGGTGAAACAATACCTGGTCGTCAGTTTATTTATTTTTATTTTAAAAATGTATTGAGTCAAGATAAAAAATGTTAATCCATTGTTACTCTGTGGCCGTAAGACCAAGTTTAAGTAAGAAATTAGTTCAAGTCTGTTCTTGAACTCAGTGTGTTTAAGGTAAGGCTGAAATCACAACTGAATGAAAAAGCTTAGCCAGGAAATAGTCTGGCATTCATCCCTACCCCCACCTCTCTTAACCAATCATTATCTGGTAATCTGATTTCAGTCACTAGATTTGTTGAATGTAAAAGAAGTCTATAGACATTTCAATGTGTCAAGATAGTTCAATGTTTGAACTCAATGATAATATATAGAAAAATTTCACCATAGCAAAACCACTTTATGTGTATATATATGCCATTCTTCTTAATGTGCACTTATTTTATATTTATTTGCAATTTATCTGCTTTAAATCAGGTGGTGATAAAGAAAATATCTTGTTCCAGTCCATTTGTAAATTTAAAAAGTTATACAGCAAATAAGTAACTTATTTGTGACCATTTGATTTCTTATTCTTGTTCCAACAGTTTAGATTGCACAACATCCAAGTTCTTATTGTTCATTATTAACCATCTTGTTTTTCAGATTCAGGCTACGTAGAGGTTGACTAGTACAGGAGTTCACAGGCATAGTCAGCCCTCAGTCTAGAATGGAAAACGGTAAAGCATCGAGTTGATCTTTGACACAACGCAACAGGCGAATAGCGAACAGATTGCACAGCCAAGCAACATGGCGGATGAGCCCATGCTCAGTTTGTTTGACACGGATTCCACCAGTTTTCTGGACGAGCTAGCCGACGTGGGTGACCCACTGGGAAGTCTGCCAGTCAGTATGTCTGGCTCCAATCCAGGGATGATGCAAGGAGGGATGGGCAGTATGTCGGGGATGTACCCTCCGCAGATAAGTAATGGTCAGTATGGCCAGTCCACTCCTCCCCAGCAGCAGCCTCAGCAGACTATGAACCCCTTTGACAGTGGCTACAGCCAGTACGACAGCATGCGCATGCGCCAAATGAGCGGGGGGAACCCAGGCATGCCTCAGGTACCTGGTCAGACCCCAGGTGTGCCTGGCCAGACCCCAGCAGGCATGATGTCCCCAAATGCTCAACAACAGTATGGCAGTCCACCCCCTGGGAGCCCCAGGGTGCAGCGTGGGCCAGGCCAGTATCCTGGGTACCCTAGCATGGCCAACGGACCCCGCATGCCGCATCCCCAGGCCCAGCAACACATGAGTCCGGCGGGGATGGGGATGTGGAATCAGGGACAGCAGGGTGCAGGGGAGGGTCGACCCCCCTACATGACCTCTCAGCAGTCACAGCAGCAGCAAGCTTCGTATACACAGATGCCTTCTTATCTCTCTCAGCAGCAGCAGCAACATGATTATGCCATGGCGACGGCCAATCAACCAACACCACAACAACAGCAGAGATTGTCTCACTTTCCCGAGCAAGCTAGTCCAAACAATCAGGGGAATTCAGGGTACATGCAACCAATGAGTAGTTCAGGTCTCGGTTCTCCGCCCGCGGGATCTCGCCTCAGTCACATGGGACCCATGGGCGGGCAGGGGAGCATGCCTCCTGGCATGAACCACATGCCAGGGAGTATGTCAGGTGGAATGGGGAGCCCATACCAACAACAACAATCACAACAGACGATGAACAGTCTCAGTATGCAAGGTGCAATGGGAAGGATGTATTCAGGGGGAAATCAGATGAGGCCCCCTGGTTACCCTGGTAACCAGATACAGGGTCAAGGTCAGGGTCCCCCCTCAGCACATGACCTCTGGTCCCCAGATGACCCCGGAGAAGCTACAGCACTTTGGCTACCAGCAGCCTTCTCAGCCTCTTCGCAGTATGGCTGGAGTAGGGGGGTCGCGCCTGTCTCATTATGCTGGACCAGGAGTAGCACAAGGCCAAACCGCACAGTATCAGGGTTCCTATGGGGGGATGCCCTCCCAGCCCGCTCCCTCCCCTGGGGGAACCCACCCTACACCACCCCCGGTGTCCCCCATGTCTCCAAGGGGTGCGACTGATCGGCTGGGCCACCCACCATCAAGTCATGGGAACTTCAGCAAATCCAGTCTACAACAACTGGAGCAGTTGGTCTCCCCGGGGATGTCACCTGGGATGGGTAGCACACCCGTTTCCTCCGGGGCAGTGGGAGCACAGCAATACATGCAGCAGAACTCCAGCATGGCCCCTGGCATGCAGTTGAGTCCGCGCATGCCTTCCAATGCCATGCCCAATGCCTCATCCTTTGGAAACCAGAGTCTTAGCTCGGCTGGCAGTGGGCCCAACCAGGCCGGAGGACCCCCAGGGGCCTTCAGCCAGGCCAATAACATGGGAATGATCAATGTAAATACAAGCATGGCGAACCAGAATATGAACCGAAGTGTCGGGAACCAAATGAGCCCTCAGATGAGTCCGAGAACAAACGTGGATCCCAATCTGGGGGTGAAAATTCAGCAGGTACAACAACAGCTTCAGCAGCTGATTAACATGCCTCAAAACCCGCACGCTCAAAAACAGATGCTGGATTTGCAAGAGCAGTTGCGGAACTTACGAGCTCAGCAACAGCAGCAACAAATAATGTTGCAGAGACAGCAGCAGCATATGGCACAACAACAAAAACAACAACAACAAGTGATGCTACCACAACAGCAACAACAACAACAACCAATCCAAGCTCAGATGCCTGTACAAATGAACCCTGTACAAATGCAACAGCAACAACAACAGCAACAAAAGCATACCATGTTGCAAAAGCAGCAGCAAATGCATTTACAACAACAGCAACAACAACAACAGCAGAAAACCGCCCCAGGGGTCACAGGAGCTCCCCCACCAGGGCCTCAGATGATGCCCAATGTCCGATTGTTGTCACCAAACCCTCAGCCTACTCAGCAGGTCATGTCACCAAGAATGATGGTAAGTGAGACAGAAACTATTTTAGAGTAGAAATTGGTGTATCATAGGTCATTAGATGACTAAAGGAGCATTCCCATAAACCCAGTGTACTAGCTGGATCGATCTAACTGCATGATTCTCATTAAATTGCATTCAGTGTAAGCAGTTTAAAGGTCTGGCTTGTCAACTCAAGCTAATAGGGGGTAATTAGCAATTGTCAGTTAGCCCCTAGTTTCTCAAGGGAGCATGCCAGATAATTAAGCTATTTACACGGAAAGCACTTCAGCGAAGAAGCCCCAAAAAATGAGATCAATCCAGGTAGCACAATGGGTTTGTGGGAAAGCAGTCTTAGATTAATTTGGTATGCTGTAATTTGGATCAGTAATCTAGCTGAAAACCTACATTCACTGAAGTCTGTTCTTTTGTTGGGAAGCAGCTTTGAAGGCAATTTTAAAGAAAAAAAATACCATTATCAAAGTTGTTAAAGCATTTATTAAAAGTCATTAAGAATTTAAAATGGTTAGAAGTGGGCCATTTCATTCTTTACATTTATGATATATGTTTGTGCATGTACACCAAAGTAGAACTGGTGTCATTTTTTTTTTCGTACACAAAAAGAAAAACAAAACCACCTCATTGTAATTTATATTACTCATATTTAAAAATAAATTCACAATATCATATTTTATGTATCCATTTATTAGCTTATAACAGTGTATATACGATTTATGCCAGCAGGTAATAATTATTTATTCTGAATTGTGAAAATAATTTGATAATAATTTTTGTCATTATGAAGGAAAATAAGTAAATTTGAACAGTGCTATGCCTAGTGATATATTTAATTGAAAATCACACAAAGATGCATTCATAGTGTATATGATCAGCAGTTTCTCTTTCTTAGGTTTTATTTTTGGCTTAAACATTTGATTAAGTGAAAAAAAAAAGACTTTTGGATTAAGCCAAGCACTTCCATTACAGTAGTTCACATTTGGATGGTAGATCTAGGGCTTTCAGCCGCATCCGAAAGTTACGTGCTTCGAAGCCTTGTCAGATATGACAGCGGACATTAACCTGCATATCTCAGTTGAAATAGTCTAGAGAAGACTTGAAAAAGTCATATAGTGGCATGACTGTGAACTTTTCAGAAACCTGTCTGCTTTGCATGATATGTTAAGTCATGCCATGGGCGTGTATTTGGTGGTTTGGGGGTGTGAAGAGGGACTGTATGTGACAATGACAACAAAATTATTCATATGTTACTGTAATTTAAAAATATGGTGATCTGTAAGTCTAACTATACGTAGTATTTGAAAGAAGTTATTCTGTCCTACAATTTTACTGTGATGAGTGAATTTTTTTTAAACCGGAATGTGATGTTATATATAATATGTAGGTAAATAGTAAATCAAGACAAAAAAATATTAGAATTATTGATTAATCTTGAACCTTTACACAAGGTTGTCTAAGTTAACATCTGATTACTATTCAAAGGGTTGGATAAACAAAGGAAATAGTGCTGTACTGCAGAATGTAAAATACAAAGAATATAAAGAAGATAAGAGATTTTTTTCAACCAGTTATTTCCGTGAATGGCCCATAGGCATTTTGTAAGCCCATGACATCACTCCACGTGTGAGATTACAACCTCCACTGGTGTATTTAGCCAGTAATTACGGGGGATGCTAAATTGGTGGTTCCTCATGCCTCACACTCAGTAGATCAGATGTCTGTGGAATACATGTGTGTGAGTAGTTCTCATATATCACATGGAAGCTGAGGCTCATCACAAAATGCTAGGATGACTTTCCAGAGGCACACACTCCAGTAAAAAAAAAAAAAGAAAAAGAGGTGACCTGTTGGATATTATGCAGCACATGAAAGAATGACGCGTGTGGTAAGGCCTCTCAACAGTTAACATGGGGAAAACATTTCACAAATGTGTAAGTTATGGGAAGTTTTCATGTCTCTGCTGTTGCTGGTTTGTGGTTTGGGTTATTTTGAAGTTGTGAAAACATAAGCGATGAGATTTTGATACATCTTACTAAGGTATAAACTGTTCGCCTTTATGTAAAGATTTGATTTATTGCGTCTGTCTGAAAAAATATATTTTTGCATAATAATGTCAAGAAAACCAGTATAGGCATTACAAGCATTTCTTTCTAAATCAATTGAAAAGAAAGAAAATGCCGCTATGCCTTTCCCACAGATGTACATGTATAAAAGCATGGTCTATCTTAACCAAAAAAAAAAAAGTTCCTACACCAGCTAGCAAGTAAACTTGACAAAGGACCAGCAAGTTTCTTTCCACTCTGGCAACAAAGTGTCCCCCCAATAGCAAGGTCTGGTGCACATAAATGAAATGGGTCACAAGTTGCACCTGCTGCTGCTCAGTCTGGGTGTCCCTGAGGCCAAGCACCCACATATGATCGGCAGTCCTTTTATTTATGCCAGACAAGTTGACTTGGTGACACTTTCTATTATGATTTTGTCATGGTTTTGAAACTGTCAGTATCTCTCTCTCTTTCATGGTTTTTCATGCACTGATGTGATTTGGCTAAAATTATCCAGCTATTTGGCTAAAATAAATTTTATCCCATATTACGTCCACTTAAAAAATACATGGTACACATCTCAATTTATTTACAAGGCATCTGTCTAAGTGTATATAATTGTTTAAACAATTTGTATATTATGATTATATTCGTTAAGAAAAGCAGGTACAGTTCAATGATACCTGCTCATTGAAACTTGTAATAACTGATGCGTGCATTGGTGAGTAGTATCATATAGGTTTTTTTTTCCCAAACCAACTTCCATGACAAAGGAATCTTAAGGGAAAGAACAGAGAAAGAGGGTCCGACCTTATGTATTGCCTCACAGCTAGCCGACTATTGACTTAATTGAATAAATTTATGGGTGATCCTGTAAGTAATATGAAATCTGAGCCCAGAGTACAAGGCCTGCCATCTGCCTCTGAAATAGCTGCACACAAGGGGCCCAAGCCGTCAGCTTTTGTCTACTGACTGCTACCTGGCTTGAAACCCACTGGCAACAAATATGGTGTTTATTCAACAGAATCAAACAACAAGAAAAAAATAAAATAAAATCCCCCCCCGCCCCCATAATGTTTTGTCTGTAACACCTGTAAATGTTCATTCAAAGTTTTTTGGCTTTTTTGTCAATCAGAAAGTATATTTTGTTTGAAAATATATAAGTGTCTGAAGGTGAAAAGCGAAGCAGTGGAAAATGTTAGGTGTTTGAAATTTTTAAATATTACAGTAAGCACAGAGCTACCACACTCCTCAGCGTGCAGGTGTTGTGGTTGTTGCCCCTAGCTGACTGCCATTAGTTCTATTTGGCTGTGGCAGTCACAGGACAGATTCTCTCACCCAACCCGAATTGGTCTAATTTCTAGTTGCCACCAGAGAAATGCTCACTGTGGCAATACAAATCTTTTGTCTCCACCATAAGTAGCTAATCTAACCAATTTTTTCATAAAAACTACCTAGAAAGAAAAAAGAAGGAAGGCCAGAGATGATGAGAAAATCCTTTCATATCTTCTGACCACACTTCCAAACTGTTGCTACTGTGTGGGAAGGAAAAAAAAACAACAAAAGCTGTAAAACCAGAATTTATATAAAGACACCAAGGAAAAGAGTATTTTTAAAAATAAAACCAGAGGAAAACCAGGAGAGAGAACAATTTTCTACTGGCCATGCATATTACAGCGGCAATGCTTCAAAACAAAGGGAAACTGCAATATAGTCCAGTTTCATCACCAATTTTGTAAAAGCAAAAAGGAAAGAAAGGAAAACTTTTCACATTCACTGTCCAGCTGTCTCCTTCTTTGTTTTGAGGTGTGCTTTGTGACCGACCTATATTTCAGTGAGAGAACAAAAGACTTCCCCCACGTTCACTATTAGCTGAGGAGTAATACAGGTGGCAGGTTGCACAGTACAGTGATATTAAGAAATGCAAGTTTGACCATTTATATAATGGGCTTTGTGGTGGGACATGTTCACACAACCATACTAAGTAAGATCAGCAGAAGTAGTACAAAATTATGTTCTATGAAGAAGCAGATTCTTTGATTTGAAAAAAAAATGGTGGTAGTTATGATTTAGATATATGAAGTTGTTTTGTTTGAAAGTGAATACATCATGCTTACTCTGTTGAAGTATTTTTTAGGAATTGAAAATATAATACACTAGATGCTATTGCTGCTAAACTGAGAAGTTATAATTCTGAGCTGAGATGGGGTTCCTGTTTGGCATATAGACTGTTGTGAGTCTCAAGTTGGTCTGATTGTGAACAGTCCCTGATTTTTTTTCTCTCTGAAAAGTTTCGGAATTATTTATCAGTAGTGATAGATCCAGAGGCATTTTCTTATTTGGTAGTTATCAAATAAGAAATTACGATTCCAAGTTGAATACTTTCTATTATCCTATACAGCCACTTTGTCTGTGCAATATGCATAATTTTTAAGCTACTAGAATGCAGAGCTCAATAATGACTTTTGCCACAGCTGGCATATTATGTAGTGAAGTGAATATGATGTAAACAAAGGAGATATATACATAAAGGTTGGTAACTTGTTTTTGGTGGCAAATGCTTTGCTCAAAGCTAAAATGTTTTGGTTCAGCTTGTATGTAAGTGACCCTATCTCGTCTTTATTGATGTCTTGGTGCTCTTGTGAGTCGATAATTGCACTGGTCTATTCAAGATATTATGCCATGTATATGACCTAGGGTTGCCCAATACACTCTTTGTCTTAATATTTCCAAGACTAAAGACATATTTAGACTGGAAAGGCTACCAGTAATGACGAGAGAACAGTTTGGAGTGTCAAGGAGAAAGCAACGTCAAAAAGTACGTAAATCTGTAAGCATGGTGAAGGTTTTGTACTTTGTGTTTGGTAAATAAGTTATTTTGTATAATATAAGGGAGATGCAGTTCTTGCAGATTGGCAGTTTCTTGTATTGACTTGTGACAAAGGGGATATATGGGAACATACCCCTTGCCCATTTCTTATTTTTACTTGGAAAGCAGGGAGCAGAGCATGATGGCTATCATCTGCAATAGCCCTTAGTGTCTTGACTTTGTGTGAAATCAAGGGAAATTTCATAGAAATCTCGGCCAGGTCAAAAATAATGATAGATGAATACATGAAAGGCAGCAACCAATTAAACCTGACCAAATTTTTTGTGGTGTTTCGTGTTAAGTTCTGTAGAGTTTGCCGTTTACAAAATATTATGTATCCACCATCTTTTGCTTGTTACTTATATATTGCTATCTAAGACACCATCCCCATAGACACCGTCAGTCTATGTAGATCAATCAAACTCTGTGGGGACTCTTGCTGAGAGCAATAAGCTTAACTGAATAACATTTTTTTCTTCATATTTTTCCAGCAACCAGACTCCTTAGGTCCACAACCACTACCCCCTACCTCACATAATCAGCAGTCCATGGCGCAGACGTTAACCATGTCACCACCACAACAACAACCACAGACACAGACGCCATCTATAGGTCAGCCACCAACTATTCTACCTCCACAGATGGGAGAGGACCTCCAACCTCCTTCGGCCTCCTCGACTGGGTCAGAGGAAGACCAGCAGAAACGCATAAAGATCAAGCAAAGTCAGGAAAAGGCGAATAAGATCATCCAGGAGGCCATCGCCAAAGCCCAGGCGCAGGGAATGGATGTTCCTTCTGTCCAACCCCAACAGCAACTTCCGGTCACTATTGAAGGGGTCGGTGAAGAGGACGCCACTGACCAAACGCCAGAGAAACCGAAGAAGAAACGAGCACCCAGGAAGAAAGGGGAAGGTGCCAAAAAGAGTGAGAAAAAACCCAAGACCCCGAAGACTCCAAAAACACCCAAAGAACCCAAGGAGCCGAAGACGCCAAAAGATTCAGAAAAGGCAGCAGTGGAGGCGACAGAAGGTGAAGCAAAACCAGAAGAGAAAAAAGAAAAAAAGAAAACACCAGTCAAGGCCAAGAGTTCTACCAAGAAGAGAAAAATGTGAGTATATATTGTCTGACAAATGTCATAGCTAAGGTTTTGACTTAAAAGATTTTTTAATTTTTACATTTTGGTCCAAATATCACATAATCTTAATTTTAATTTGGTATGTCTAACTTTATTGTATGGTTAGTTTGCTTTTACTGTTGCAACCACTTCTACTCTTCTCAAAAATGGGGGGAAACCCTATTAAAATATTGATAATGAACTTGATCCAAAGATGTAATTGGTTGTTCAAACTATGAGTGAAATTTTGGTATGACTGCCACTAGGTTCACTCGTGTCTGTGACAAAGAGACCAACTTTTAGGTGTTCTGAAACCTGCCTGACTTGTAAGTCTGGTTAATATCCTTTCACAGTATATTTCCCGCCTTTTACATTGAGACTTCTCCTATATTACTTTTTCATCTGTATATACAAGGAAGAGGAGAAATATTTCAAAATTCTTCTCTTTTTAACAAAATGATAGTTGTATAATACAGCTTATAGTAAATAACTTTGATTTTCATGTGAAGAAGAAACTTTGATGTTATGCAAATTGCTTTTGTAGCCAGTAGTTAGGCCAGTCGTGTTTGATCTAGAAGAAGAAGACAACATTAAAGCTTTGTTGCTGTGCAGGTCTGCAGGATGTAGATTTAACACCTTACTAAGGATCTTTGTATTAGCAGCTTAAGTACAGACCTAATAGAACGTTTTGGCCAGCTCTCAAGATCAGAATAATTTTTTTTTTCTGTTTTGCTTTTTCATAAGGCTAAAAAAAAAAGATGGAGGTGAGGGGTACTCAAGTTCACTTCCTAGAATCATAGTATAGTTTCTTAAGAATAAGATAGAAGAAAAAAACTTCACTGCTGTTCCTGTGATTACCACATCCCTGACATGCCTATTTTTTATATATAAATATAAATACTTTTATTCTGTTTGTTGTGGGAGGATGACTGTAAAATTGTCTTTCTCAGAAAAATCAATACAAAATATTGATTCTGTACAGCAGCAAGTTGCTTGCCAGCATTGGTTTTAGCTGGCTGTAGAATCGTGATAAGTGGTTGACAGCAGCGACATTGAGGAAGAAGGGTATTATGACCCACTCCTGCATTGTTTTGCTGACTCCATTTGACCAATAGAGTGCGCTTGCGCAAGTTTATTTCATGACTTGCTGGGGTAGCACTATCAATTTTTTACGGCTTAGCCAAATCACAACTTTTTCATCATTTTTGCTTCAAATGGTTTGATTTTGAAAAGTCAGATCAACCCTGTTTTGTTTAGCTAATTTAAGTCAGTTTTTGCATTTGGCTAAATTGATGTGTGTGAGTGCTACCCCAGTCTTGTCCTGAGTGATCTTCACTAAACAAGGAAAATGTGGTGCATCTCTAAAGCAATGTCCAACTTGAATTTATTCTACTGAACAGCCATGCCCTCTTATTGAAGAAAACCTAGTGACACCCAAGGGAACAATATTTAGACTTAAGTTAAGGTCTACACAGACACATGTCACTAAGTTAAGGTCTACACAGGTTCATGTCACTATTTTCTGTGTAGGAGTACAAGTCTAACCAAGATGGATGTGGGCAGTTTTCAACATATCCGTTCACTGGTTTCAGTTTGTTTATTTGGTGTGAATAGGTGCTTGAGGACAGTGTGCATGACAAGTGTATGTATGGCAAGTGTGCACAGGCAGGTGTGAAAAAGCCTTGCTGCCTACGTGCATTTGTGCATCTTTTTTCTCTTTAACAAGTTGATAACATTTAATACCATTTGTAAAGCTAAAGGGGGCAGACCTCTTTCAAGAAAAAAAAAAGGCAGAAAATTAAAAAAAAAAAAGGAAACCCAAATTCAATTGAAATAGTAATCATTTCTGTCCTTCTGAATAACTGTCTATTCTTAAAATTTCATCTAAAATGAGTGTTGTTTAACTTTTTGAAACATCTCATTCATTAACAAACAAACACCTATGAAAACAACCTCCTTCATTGGTGGGGGAATATCTTTCTTGTCTGACCAATGGATTTCTCTTGTTCCTTCTTATATAGGCCTCCAGCAACCTTTATCGCAAAGAAAAAGAAGAAGCGTAAATCTTCAGAAGGCTCCGATGTGGACATGGAGGTTACACCACCACCCTCGCCAATAATTGATGATTTTCAGGTGAGAAACAGACTGAAAGGCAGCATTTCATTGTACCAAGGACTTTAAGCAAAAAAATTAGACATAGCAAATCACTGGAACCTAACTCTCTAAGGGACCATTCCCATAACTCCACCATTCCCATAACCCTCTTGTACTAGCTGGATTGATCTAACTCCTTGGGGACTCTCGCTAAATTGCACTCAGTTTAAGCATCTTAAATGTCTGTCATGCCTCCTCGTAACTTAAAGGTTAGTCAGGGAAAACTTTGTGGTCCATGATGTTGTTTGAGTTGCTTTGCAAGGGGGCGTGCCAGACAGATGAACTAATAGCATTGACTGCACCTTAGCGAGAATCCCTACTGGGATAGATCGATCCTACTAGTACAATAAAGTTATGGGAAACCAGCCTAAGTAGCATTTCACTGAGAATTTTTTTTTTTTACTCAGCCCATTGATCAGATGATGATTGTCTTGATAATGACTTCTACTGTTGGTCGTGTCAAGTGGAAAATGAGACTATTTTAATGTAACACATCTACTGTATCTTACAAAATCTAGATCTCTAAGTTGCATTTCACTGAGATGCTTTTTTTTTAATCAGCCCCTGGATTAGATAATGATTGTCTTGACAATGACTTTCCTGTTAGTGGTAACATGTGGAAAATGAGACTGTTTTAATGTAACACATCCTTTCTATCTTACAGAAACGACGATCTGCCAGAAACACGAAGCGGAAGAAGTATCTGGATGACCTTGACCTTCAGTTGTCAGAAGAGGACGAGACAAAAGAAGTGGATATCGAAGGACATGCTGATGGCCTCGGCCCAGCTACAATGAAAACGGTACAATTCTTTGTGGTAAGCATGCTGATTTGAGCCCCTTACCATCTTTTTGGGTTTAACACGGTCACTGACATTTTCTGACGTCCCCCCTAACTTCTGGTGATGGTTTTAGAAACATGTTTACGTACACATACACACACACACACACGTGCACAATATAAAAATGTTATTAGGTAATAACATGATGATGAAGTTATTCTGTCTGACAGAGCATGAGATTTGTCTGTAGTTTACGTTGCATGTGAAAACCTTATCTTATAGAATTTTCAGATTTTTGAAACTCTAGTTATGGATTGACTTTTTACTTTGCATTAATGTCACTTTTGCTTGACATAAGACAAACACTGGGTACAAAAACCACAGTATATGTGTAGGTGCCTGCATGTTTGTTTTCAAGGTGTATGAAACCCAAAATTTTCCTAACTTGTGTTTTGATCAAATTTGGAGTTGAAAAAATGTGAGAACTTACCTAGGAAGTTGTGCTCAGACCAATCTAGATCAGTTTAGGTCACAGCACACCACCAGACAGTTAAGCATTAAGACAACTAATTTAGCTGTTGGATCCCAGTGGACTCTCTCCCCTACACTGTACTGCATCTGGTCATCCTTCAGCCATTTTGTGAGGAAAACTGTAAGATTTTGTTTCATGTCAATTTGATTTGTCCAAATTCAGTTGCAACCCAATCAGTTGGTCATCTGTGACATTGTCTTGGCTTGGGTAAAAAACAAATCTTAATACTTTATTTGAACATCAGCAAAAGGTAACAGAATAGAGTGTTTGACATCAACTCTGGCTGATTGCCAAATGCCAGTTAAAATAATCGTAAATTCGTCCAGTCACTGGTCAGTGTTTCTACTATGGGCCTGTAGATTCCTAGGGACCATTCCCCCAGATATTTGGATCAATCTATCTCCCTGGGGAGTCTCACTTAATTGCTATCAACTTAACCAGCTTAAATATCTGTCACACTTAGTAAAGCTGTTAGGGGGTAATTATCTTTACACCCTGGCTGATTCGGTAGGCATGACAGACATTTAATCCGACAAGTTCACAGCAATTTAGTGAGACTCCCTAGGGAGTTAGACCGATCTAGATGGATCGATCTAGGCATGGGAACCCAGTCCTAAAGCCCTTGGTGGCCTAAATTGCCAGTAGGTTAAAAAAAAAATTGGTATACTATTTACAGAGATTATACTATAATACCATATAACTCACAGTTGCAAACACAACAACAGTTCTGTGAAGACCAGACATCATATGCTGCTCCACAATATACATCACAAGCCAATACACATGACAATATGCCATCCTATACTTTTTTACAAACAGTGTCAGAGATGCTAATTCTAGAAAATTGGAGGATTAAACTTCAAGACGTAGACTTTCATTAATTGGAAAGGTGGTGAGCAGGCCACAGAGGGATTAGGCTTGACTTATCATTGGTGGATATATTTGGTTGTTTGGTGACATCGATTTAAATAGAACCAGTTAGGCATTGCCTTACTGCCTTTTATTGCATGTGTAGGAAGTGGTGGTGGGATGAAGGTCAGACTAATATTTGCATGTAGATTTGTTAGCATTTTTTTAGTGGTGGAGGATGANATCTACTGTGATATTGAAGCATTTTATGTAACCAAAACAACAATTAATGTTCAGGTCAAGCTTTCCTTCCGTCATGCTTCCTTCTCCATCTTTTGCAATTGACAATTTTTTTTTTTTTTTTTTTTTTTGGTATGTGTGTGTGTGTTTCAGATGCACAGTGGTGCCTATAATTTCATGTTAAAAAATCAGAAAGGGTTGATGTGGTAACCATGAAGATGTTTGATGTGGTGACCGTTAATTTGATTCTGTTACTATTTAAAAGTGAACCTGCCATTATTGTATATTTGTTAATGTTACAAGTCACATTACCTAATTACATCTAGATCATTTGAAAATATGGGAATTAGACTTTATGTATATGCTCCTGAGAGATGCTTTGGTTGTAGCTTCAATCTGCTGCTTGACGGAAACTACGAAGCGCCATTACCACAGGTGCTTATATAAACTGCCAGAGTCAGTGCCCCAGTGAGGGAGAGCCTTTAGAATGGTAATTTCTTTCCAGGAAAACCCAGCAGAAGAGGATGCCGTGATTGTAGAGAAAATACTGGGGATGAGAATGGGAAAGAGGAAATACTTAAAGGTGAGAGGGAGGAAGTGACGCATTAACTGCTGGAAAAAATGATTGATAATATTTTGAAAATACTGTGTATAGGCAATTTATTAGAGGACCTTGAGAAATATATTTTCAGTGACCTAAGGCTTGTGCTTGACTGTCATAGCTGATACTGAATTTCAAAAATTTAAACAAGGCCACAGAATCCTGAAAAATGAAAAGCACAAGACAGTTTAATGAGATGCTGGTAATACCTAGAAAATACAAAAAAAAGTGCCAACCTCAGAACTGAAACTTAAACAAAAAACGTGCTAAGTTGAGTAAAATTATGTGCAAAAGTTAACATTTAGCAAATGTGGTTTTAGGAAAGTGCTATTGACGTAGAAGATGTCCCTCTTGGAGCACCCCCCAAATTTGAAACCCCAGAGCAAACCAAGACGACAGAAAACCCATCAGAATCACAAGGCACGGGGGAGGAGAAAATGGAAACTGATCAGAGAGAAGACAAAGAGAATGAAGAAAATGGTAAGTAGGAGATGTTTTTAATGCACATCCCTTTGTTGAAACCCTTAATGGGACAAATTCTGTCAGATATTTTTGATGTAAAGGTGCAGAATATCTTCCATTTTAAGATTATAAATGGATTTTGATGAACTCATTAAAAAATTTTTGCAGAATACTTCAAACCAGAAATGTACAACTTTTGTCACATTTGATGTCTAAATTGAATATGAAATGGCCTTGGCTGCCTGAGTAACCCATTTTTATGTACAGACTACATACACATATTTTAAGTACCTTTTTTTTTTTTCAAGAAAATGGCACAGAGGAAGGGGAAAAAGAAGAGAGAAAAGAAGTTGTCCATGCAACCCAAGATCCCCCAGAACCAAAAGAGGAGGATTATGAAGAGGTGGAAGTTGAGGAGTTCTATGTCAAATATAAGAACTTGTAAGTGGACAAATTTGCTTTGTTAATATTTTAGTACGCGTTCGGAACAGGGGACTTACTAGCCCTTGGATCTAATATGGCGACCTTGTTAAAAGCTTTTCGAATTATCTTGTGAAGGCACTAAATAGATTCCCTGCAGAGATTACGGAACAAGCATTCAAGTGGGCTGGTTATATTTGATCTGCTGACTAGTAAGTCCGCTGTCATGAATGCGGCCTTAAAAGGACTGATTATGTTAAACATGGAATAAAAGGCAACTAAATTCAGGTTTTAACAAGTTTTGTATTATTATGGTAAGAAATTTCAAATAAACGGTTGATGGGTGGGTGAACTACTTCCCAAAAATAAGAATTGCTAGATTTCATTTTAGTCATCACTTTTAATGTATTTGATATAGTAATTGTCATGTTTAATCTACCAAACTAAGATTCAAACCCTGGGATTTTGATAGTTTTATGATATAAAATTGTAATTTCAATAAACTACTATGATTTGGGGAAAGTGTTTTAGGATAAGAAATAAGTCTAGGTAGTGGGTGGGTAAAACTGCTTCACAAAAGTAACAAATGATTTGGGGTAAGTGCAGTTTCAACTTTCTTAAATCTTTGAAACTAAGTCTCCAGAAAATTGTAACTCTCTATTTTTCGTTCTTCATTCAGTTCCTACCTGCACTGTGAATGGAGGACAGCTGATGAGTTAAAGGACAAAAGAATCCACTCTAAGATCAAGAGGTACAAAATGAAGAGGTTACAGATGAACAATTATTTTGTTGAGGTAGGTATATCTATATTTATTTAGTTTTGATTAAACATAAATGCAATAAATCTTTGCTGATGTTTGATTAAAAGTTTATTGCCAAAGAAGAGTATTACAGTGGATTGCAGAGTGCTAAAGCATGTTACTGGACTAAAATCTTATTATTTTAGTTATATGTTTGTTATAAGTTAACTATTACTAATATCTTATTCAGTTGAACAGTTTTTTAGTTGGAACAAAACTAAATTTGACTAAATTTGACTTACCAAATGAAAAGAAGTATTGAAGGCGCCTGTATATATATATTTCTCTTTCAGTTTGATGAAGATGACCTTTTCAACCCGGACTATGCAGAAGTGGACCGGGTTCTCTGCAAGTCTGTCGTCACTGACCCCAACACGGGTGAAGAGTCCACGCACTACCTCGTCAAGTGGCAGTCGTTGCCGTACGAAGAGAGCACGTGGGAGCTAGAGCAGGACGTGGATCGCAACAAAATACAGATGTACAACAAATTTAACCGACCACTGACTGAGGAAGAGAAAGAGGTTAGTGATTAAGAATAGGGTGAATTTCACATAGGGAAAAAATGTACCTATTTGAATGGAGGTTTTAAACTGCCATTGTGTGGTGTGATTAATCAATGTATTTGTGTGAAAATATATTTGAATTTCTATTTTGTTGTAATGAAGGTCTTACTGTAGATACCTATGTGCTAGGGGAAACTTCTCATTTTTGTCAGACATTTTTAGATCAGAAATTCATTTTTTGATAATCTTCACAAACTCATATCTCATTTTACACTGATTGTCTCACTCCAGCACAAGGAAAGACCGACACCATCAGATTTTGAGCAGTATGAGGAGTCTTTGGAATACAACAACAACAACCGTCTCCGGGAATACCAGCTGGAGGGCGTAAACTGGCTACGATTCTGCTGGTATAACAGGTAACACAGCCCAAAAATCTCTCTTTCTCATAGAAAAAAAAGTTTAAATAATTCAAATCTAGAAGGATTTAATATTTCCATTATTTTACCAGTTAGAACTTAATATAATTGATATAGGTAGTAAATTGTGAACCATGGAAGTTTCATGTCAACTTTCATAGTTCATATTTTTTTTCATATTTTTTTCTAGTCAAAACTGTATCCTAGCTGATGAAATGGGTCTAGGCAAAACCATCCAGAGTATTACCTTCCTCAATGATATTGTCCGCTATGGAATCCGCGGCCCCTTCTTGGTGATTGCACCCTTATCCACCATAGCCAATTGGCAGCGCGAGTTTGAAACATGGACGGACATCAACGCCATCACGTACCACGGGACCTCGCCTAGTCGTTCCATGATACAGGAGTACGAGTTATACTTCAGAGATGAAAATGTGAGTAATGGTACCATCATAAGTAGAAGACCTTTGGTGTTTGGATTTTTATGATCACCTATGTCTAACAAAGGGATACTTGAAAGATAAAAATTACTTCTTTTGGTATCAAAAGTGAGACCTTACCGTTAACTTTTTGTATGTGGACTACTGTAGAAAGTAACTTATTCTCTTGACAAGGCAAAGTTGGTGTATGTATCTTACATTCATGTTTTCGTCTTAAGCATTTGAAAGAATTGTGTTCTCCTTTCTTGGACTCTTTGAGATGTTTCCACACTTTGAAAAAGGATGGCTAAGGGGGGCATTTCATTCCATAAGTATGCAAGCTTCATATCATGCTGATATCTATCTGTCTATTTATCAGGGCCAGAGGATACCAGATATCTTTAAATTTCAAGTCCTCATCACGACCTACGAGATCATCATCTCCGACTGTGAGTTGCTCAGCCAGATAGAGTGGCGTTGTGCCGTCATTGACGAGGCTCACAGACTCAAAAATAGGAACTGCAAGCTTCTGGAAGGATTGAAAATGTTTGAATTGGTGAGCATAGGACAAGTATTGTAAATGATTGAGACAGTTGTTACTCATGTGACCCCCCCCCCCCTCCTCTTTTTCTGTGCATCATGTAATTTCCATGATTTGGCTGTTTGTATTTGAATGGAATTTTTACTTGTAAACATGCCTTCACTAAATGTGTATCGATTCTATATACAGACCATTCTGAAGCTACTACATCTCTGTAATATGGTATACTACTCTTTTTCAGTGATGGAACTTATTATTTTGGTGAATTTTTGGAGTTAAAAGTTTGCTAAAAGTATTTTGGTTGTTATTTGTAGGGAAGTCAAATTGAAATAAGGGGGATATATAAATTGTTACCCTGGTCGCCATGAAGGGAAACTATAAAGATATATGAATACGAATTGTCTGTACACATTTGTGTCCTATTATTTCAGGAGCACAGAGTGTTGCTGACAGGCACACCACTCCAGAACAACGTGGATGAACTTTTCAGTTTACTGAATTTCCTGGAACCAAAGCGCTTCAAATCCTCAGAGGAGTTCCTCAAAGACTTCGGCGACCTCAAAACTGAGAGTCAAGTAGACAAGCTTAAACAGGTGAAGAAGATATGTTTAATATTGAGGAAAAAAAATTGTATTGAGACATGACTGAGATTCCTGTTGCAGTCTTCTGATAGTGTTACTAAACCTCATAGAATGCTCCAAGAAAGAAAAAGTTCAGTATGGTATACATTTTGTTGAAACACTAATATTTCAATCCCTTTCCAGCTGTTGAAGCCAATGATGCTGAGACGATTAAAAGAAGACGTGGAGAAGAATCTGGCTCCGAAAACTGAAACAATCATCGAGGTTGAGCTGACCAACATCCAGAAGAAGTATTACCGTGCCATTTTGGAAAGAAATTTTACATTCCTCGCTAAGGGCTCAGGGACATCTAATCTGCCAAATCTTATGAATACCATGATGGAACTCAGGAAATGTTGTAATCACCCGTATTTAATCAATGGTAAGTGGAGGGTGGATGAGAGGGCACATAGGTCAAGGTCAAATGTAATCCTCATTTTGAGTAAATCTAAATGACCAATGCTCTTTCATTCTGAATGTAAATGACAACTGTGTTAAATTTTCTCCATTTGTAGAAATGAATTCTTTATTGTTGTCAATTTAACAGTGCTTTTGTGTTTTGGACTAGCTTTAGATATGCAGAAAGTGCACCAACTGAACGGACATTGAATAAAAAATTGAACACAGTTGTCAGTTTTTAACTTTGACAATTCCTTCAGTTGTCCATTTATAAAATGTTAATGTTTTGTCCATTTGATAACAGCCACCAGTTTACTTTTTAAATTCCATCCATTGTAGGTGCTGAAGACACAATTTTAGAAGAGCTGAACCTTCAGAAGGGCAGCCCCCCTGAGAAACTGATGGAGGCCATGGTGCAGGCGTCAGGAAAACTTGTGCTCATCGATAAACTGTTGCCAAAATTGAAAGCTGGGGGACACAAGATACTGATATTCTCCCAGATGATCAGGGTGCTTGATATATTGGAAGATTATCTCATCAATAGACAGTAAGTTTGGTCGGGTTAATGTGTATCTTACAAGATGTCCATTTTGTCTGGACACAGGCAAATTGCATGTGTTAAATAAGATAAGATTTTTAAAGATTTTAAAGATGTTTTAAATAAGATTTTTAAAGATTTTAAGCAGTTGAAATATAAGTAAATAGCAATGAATGTTTCACCACTTGTGATATAAAGAGCTATGAGTAATATTTCTAATGTGTTTAGACTGAAGGGATTGATTATTTCTTGTTCTTAAACTTATTTGGATCATTCCACAGGAAAGTGAACATTTCAGTCACATCAGCAACAACCACATTTTGTGTAATATTTGCATAATTTGACTTGCCATTTGGCATATTTGAGTACACCAAGGAATTTTATCATTAATAAGTGTAAAAAATGTCTTTTTCAGCCACCTCTATGAAAGGCTTGATGGTAGAATTCGTGGCAATCTGAGACAGGAAGCCATTGACCGCTTTTCCAGACCAGGTCAGTTTTATCCTTTAATTTTATTTCCCTTAATTTAATTTTCTATTATCTTCCTTTTCCTATAGCAAATTGGGCCTGTTTTGTGGTAAATTTGCCTTAAAGAAAAAGTGAGACAAAAGAAAATAGAGCCGATGTGTTATTATTGGTTTTATACCTGGTTTGGTCTTAAACCCAGTTTTAAAGTCGTGCAGATTCCTTGTAGGAAGGTATTGGTTTATTGCTTTCTTGGGGTGATGTCTCATTTTGTTTTAAAATTATTAAATTACTACATGTGATAAACTTTTCCACCAAGAACTAATTGAAAATGAAAACTCCTGTTTTTCAGATTCGGACAGATTTGTGTTTCTGCTCTGTACGAGAGCAGGTGGTCTGGGTATCAACCTCACTGCTGCCGACACCGTCATCATCTTCGACTCTGATTGGAATCCTCAGAATGATCTTCAGGCGCAGGCCAGGTGTCACAGGATTGGTCAGACCAAGGATGTCAAGGTCTATCGTCTGATTACCAGGAATTCGTACGAGAGGGAGATGTTTGATAAAGCGTCTTTGAAGCTAGGGTTGGACAAGGCTGTGCTGCAGTCGATGGGGACGAAGGAGATGAGTGCAGTAAGTGTGGAAAATTAAGGAAATATTCAAGAAAAAAAACTAAGAAAGGATGAAGACGGGATACTTTCTTATGACAGTAGAAATTGCCGTTTTTAAAAGGCAACACAAAAGAATTGTTTTTTTATCTTGGTAAAAATTTTGATGTACTGCTAATTCTCAAAAACCTACATTCAGATAACATTAGAAAAGTGAATGGCAAATAACGTCTACATTTTCTTACCTCACTTCTTTACTTAAACTTACAGCAAGCCCAAATGACAAAGAAAGAACTAGAAGATCTTTTAAAGAAAGGTGCTTACGGAGCTGTCATGGATGATGAGAACGCTGGTGACGAGTTCTGCGAGGAAGACATCGATCAGATCTTGCAGCGTCGTACCCAAGTTATCCAGATAGAATCTGAAGGGAAAGGATCAACATTTTCTAAAGCCAGTTTCAACATGTCCTCCAACCGAACTGACATTGACATCGATGATCCCAATTTTTGGCAAAAGTGGGCCAAAAAGGCTGACATTGATGCCGATTCCCTAGCAAACAGGGTGGGTTGTGAAAACTAACTCTTAAGATGTATTTTTAAAAAAGGTTTCTAAAATGTTGTATTGATCCTGTTTTAAAGTGTCAGGTTTACCTTGTAATTTGTATAAAAAGAAAATGATCAATATTTAATAGGTGTATGAAAATATTGATAAGTTTATGATATATCATTCTCAGAAGGTAAAAAAAAAAAGCTAAACATGTTACATGAACCATCGTGTTCATATGGAATTTTACCATGATGTGTAAATTATTTGATTTCATCCAGAAATGGAGTTTTGCTTATTACTTTTGATAACTCTTTTGTAGAATGAGCTTATCATTGAGATGCCTCGCCAGCGCAAACAGACAGCCCGCTATGGCGACCAGAATGCCATGATGGAAAACATGTCTGAACTCGAGTCCAGCAGTGACGATGATGACAATGGTGTCAGCACGGGGAAGCCTGGAAAGAAGAAAGGTCGTCGTGGGCGGCGTAGAAATGATGAGGAGTTTGATGATGATGAGGTTGAGCCAGGGGTGTACACCAGGGCTGAGTGCTTCAGGGTGGAGAAGAACCTCTTGGTCTATGGGTGAGGAGATTGTCATTGGATTTAAGAATTCGAAATATTGCTTTTCCTTGTCCCTGGCCTAGTGTAAATATAAGATAAATTTGTTTATTTGCAGAGAATTGTTTGTAATAAATTAACTTTTTAAAAGTCAATTTACAAATCTATGAACATTAGTGAAGAATTCTTTATGATATAATTTGCACCAGTGTTTCCCCCTTTTAATATGGTTCATTTATTTGTTAATTGTATATTTAAGATGGGGTCGCTGGGATGAGGTCCTCCGTCATGGCCGCTTTAAAAGGAAGCTGACCACTGAGGATGTCCTGACCATCTCTAGAGCTATGGTCAGTTTATTATTTAGACTTGTAAAATGAGATTGTTTTAATGTTATATTTAATTGTTTAGTAATAAAATTGTTGAAGTTTAGAAAGAGGAAAAATAGTCTTTTAACAAACTGAAAACTTGCATAATCGGTTCAGTTGACACAATTTAGTGATTGATGGGTTATATGATCTAATTTTGTATGTTTTGTACAGTATGTTTTTCATAGATATATTGAGAACGTTATGTATTATTTGAGAGATATGTCTGATGATTTGTTTTTATCTCCATAGCTACTGTACTCTCTGAGGCATTACCATGGAGATGAGAGAATCAAGGCCTTCATCTGGGACCTAGTGACGAAGTCGTCAGATGGAGACATGGCCTTTAAAAACCACTCAGGTAGGAGGCTGATCTTGACTGGTTCACTTAACACTACAGCTACATTACACATGGGGATATCCAAATTTGAAAATTTCCCACAGAGTGGTTTGGAAGAGCTTGTCACAGTGATGAAATTAAATGCTGAACCTTTTGAGATCTCATATAGGCATAAAAAAATACATTTGTTTGAAAAGTTTATGAAGGACAGTTCTTGAATGTGACACGTCTTCATTATTTTGAATGTATATTTGCAGGGTTGGNCGTCCTCCATGAAATTAGACCGTCAAGGACGTTGGGACGGGCGGTTATTTCCAACTCTGATATTTGCTATATTTTTCTCTTTCAAAGGTTTGTCTGCCCCAGTCCCTAGGGGGAGAAAAGGTAGAAAGGCCAAAAAGGACCATCAAGATGACCTTGACATGTCTGGCCTTGACATTGACCCAGATACAGTTCTCAGAGATGACGGCTACAAGAAACACTTACATAGACATTCCAATAAGTAAGCATACAGAACTGAGATAAATAATGAATTAATTAGGTTATATTGAACTCTTGAAACATTTTTGCTGTTTTACCTAGGATAAGTTTTTTTATTGAGGGTTTACTTCTTAAATATGGATGTGAAATATTTTGATAAAAGAAGAAATCATCCAAGGCATTAGATAAATAACTTCCGAAAATCTTTGAGAATCTGTATAAAGGTGTGGATTTTAATTCAGAAGTATCTAGTAAGATCAATTTTTTTTTTTTTTTTTTTTTTTTATCATTGATGAAAAAAAATTTTTTCTCAGACTTGTACAAATGTGCTGTGACTTGGAGTTTTGTTTCCTGAAGGACATGACCATAGTTAAAAAATTGATGGATCTGTTTTCCAGACTATTTTAATGAGGAAAAATAAATGAAAAAAAAAACAATTCTCTGTGATTTCCAGGGTGCTGCTCAGAGTACGGTTACTATACTACCTGAAGCATGAAGTGATAGGGGACCAGACAGAGAGCATCTTACAGGGCACACCATCCTACGAAGTGGACATTCCTGCCCCGGCTGCTGACGGAGAACCTCCAGTGTACTGGTGGGACGAAGAGGCAGACAGGTCTCTTCTGATTGGAGTCTTCAAGCACGGTTGGTTTTGTCGCTGTCAAGCAGTGCTTCTAATACTAAAATTGCCTTCTAATCCTTTGCCATTTAAACTATAACATTTTTTAGAACTTAGAATGCTTTTAGCATCTTGACAGCTTTAAGGGTAAGGTCCTAAAGTCACATTTTGTTTTTTCCTCAATCCATCTACCTTGTCTTGTGCTTTATGGTGAATTCTAAAAATTAATTTTGAGAATGAAATTATCTCTTAAAATTATGACCAATTTAGGACATAAAATGACAATCTTGGAAAGAAAGAAAGAAGGAACTGGCCAATCTCTCTTGATTGCAGTCTTCAAGCATGGTTAAAGCCTTTTAAACTAGAATTGATTTTATTTCCAGGCTATGAGAAGTACAACCTGATGAGATCAGATCCTGCCCTGGTCTTCCTGTCCAGATGTGGTCCACCTGACGGCAAGCTGCTCCAGGCAGAACAGAATGACAATGACGACTTTGACAAGTAAGTTTGTGCCATTAGGAAAAATTTAGGAGAAAATCTTGGGCTATTCACATCTAATGGGAGTTGTTTCATTCCAGTTTAGTTACAGTGTCAAGTGAGGGTTTACTACTGAAGTGGTGTTTGCTTCAGCTTGTCACTTAGGGTTTCGCAGCATGATGTTACGAAGTTAATTTGAAATCTATTGCAATCCAATCATGTAACCCAAAAAGGAGCATTGCAAAATGTTCACAATGTTCTAGTGATAAAGTGGGTACTCTTTCCATACTTGAGTGAATCCAGTAGTATAAAACCCATTCACATGTGTATTGTGTGTTATGCTCCCATTCCCCTTCCCTCAACCCCCTCGTCTTTCTAATCTGCTGTTTGTGGCCCTTTATGATGACTTGCCATGCTAATACTGAAGAATCAGTCCAGTCCATGTGGGACAATGGTGCTGGGTTCTAGTGAGTTCAAAAAGCAGTACTGAAAGTGGCCATCTTGTTTAACTTATTACTTCATCCAGTAACTTCAACTTCTTTTGCTTAAGTCTAATAAAAAAGTCACTGCATTAGACATTTTTTCATGAATATAAAGTACTTCTGAAGTAGTGTATATTTTAATATGAACAAAGAAGAAAAAGGTGTAACTGATAATACATATATTGCTGGTAAAATATGAAAATTATTTCAACTTACTCTTGTATTAGATAAATACTTTTACATATTATGAGGAATTAAAAAATAAAAATGCAATGCTTATTGCACTTTTCCAGTGAGGATCAAGATTTCCGGCCAGCCAACCTGAACCGCTCTGGAAAAGACGACCCCGATGATCTGGATGAAGATCTTGATCCTGGAACACCTGCCTCAGACATGTCCAAGTCTAAACCACAGACTCCGCAGGAGTTGCCTCAGGGTAAGCATGGGGGTGCTGTGGATGTAACAGACATCTGTTTTCCTATGGAAAGAACTTTTGTATAATCCTGAGCCTGAGTACTATAAACATATAGTCCACGCATATGATCCATATTGCTTGTGTAATTTGCAGGTGCATGATCCATATTGCTGAAATAATGTAAAGCTGTCTTATCCATATTACTCAGTTTATGTGCAGGGTTTATGTATGACTTGAAAGCAGATCATAAGTGTTTGTGTGTTTGTGACTCAAAATAAAAAAAGCACCCGAAAGCTTACATTTATAGATGATAAATATTTATCACAAGCTGAAATTTTTTCCTACTGTAAGCTAACAGTTGGAATAAAGATTGTGTTAAATAATAATCATATTCAATCCAACTTCCAAGCTTATGAACATTATTGCACAAGCTTACCCTTTGTTTAGAGGAGAAGTGAGATGTCAAAAGGTTAACAATTTTGTGATTAAGAAAATGCTGGGAAAAAATTGATAGTTTTAAACTCGGCATCCTTTTCACCCCTAGCATTTGCTATTTTATTTGCTCTACATGATGGCAATTTCCATTTGTTTTTTTTCCAGGTGACTCAGCAGGACTACTTCCATTCCCCTCACACTCGGACCTGAACACGCGTCTGCGTCGTGTGATCACAGGCTACCAGCGAAGTCATAAGAAAGAGCAGCAGAAGAGGCAACAGAAAGCCAGGGTAAGACTATGGGCATGGGTGAAAAAAGAAATGAGCCACTTTCTGGGATTAAGTCTTGAAAATAGATTTATTGTACATAAAAACTGAATTGATTTTTATTTAAAAGATTGTTCTGGGATGTAAGTATAGTAGCACTCCTCAAAATTCATTTGACATTTGCAAATTTCAGATTTTCTGTAAAAAAAACAACTAATACTTGCCCTATTGTGTGTGACTTTTAGAAAATGGAGAAAAAAGAAAAACTTGAGGCAATCCTCAGGGAGCGTCAGATGCAAAAGATGGAGCAACAACAAAGGTAATCCCCTATTTCCACTCCAAAGGAATAAACCAGTTTATGTGATTTGAAAGCAGTAGTGCTCAATAGTTTGGTAATGCAGAAAATATGTGGTAGTTCCAAGTTTTTAGTATTTTGTTTTCCAACCTTAGTCATTATCAGGAATGCAAGTTATATTTTATTATACTGTCGACTATGTTACAGTGTAAGAAGTTTTTATATACAACCATCTTGTTCCTTGTAAGTGAATTAAATGTCAGCTACAAATATTGTTTTTAAAAAAATTTTATTTGTGTGTAGCCGGTGGTCCAGGAGAGAGGAAGCAGACTTCTATAGAGTGGTTTCAACATTTGGTGTGGAGTTTGACCGTAAGGCTGGACGATTCAAATGGGACACCTTCCGCCATATTGGCAAGCTGGAGAAGAAGTATGATGAGACGCTGACAGAGTATTACCTGGCCTTCTATCACATGTGCAGGAGAGTGTGCAAAAAGTTCAAAGATGACAAAGAAGGTAAGAAAAAATGTAACTTATTTTAGAATTGAAATTATTGAGCATAATTTATCTTGAAGACAGTGCTTTGTTTATGTTTTGGAGCACTCAAAAGTAAAGTGGTTGTTTTGTAGAGTTTATCTCTGTAAAGCAACCATTTTATTTTGATAATTTTAACAAGGAATTATTCCTCTTTATAGGTACCATTACTTCTTTGTGACAGTTGTATAAGCAAAATGTCTTTTGCCAATTTCTTCAGAATACTATTTTGAAATATTTAGAAGACATTTTCAAAAAGGAAAATTATATTCTAATTTCCAGCCCGTCCACCTAACAATGTCTATGTAGAGCCTATCTCTGAGGAAAGAGCCAGTCGTTGCTTGGCCAGAATCGACCTCTTGAACAAGATACGGGAGGAGATTCTGTGGCACCCCAAGTTGGACGAGCGGCTCAAGCTCTGTGCAGGAAGTGCCGACATGCCAGATTGGTGGGTCTGTGGGACACATGACCTTGACCTGTTAATCGGAGCGGCCAAGTAAGTTTTTTGTGAGAAATAGAATTGCTTATACTCTGCTTAGATTTTCATACTCTGTGCTTCTGGTGATCAAAATAACCATTAACATATACAAAGATTCTTTGTATAGTATATAAAAAAAGCTTATAAAAGTAGGGTTTTTTTACTCCTTTTACCCATACCTTTACAGAGATTAGGATGTTCATATTCACTGTCACTGTTGTTAAGCTGGTGTTGGTATAGAAGTTTGTTTGTAGCAGTTGAGTGTTTGCATCTGAGTAGTTTATTTCCTTTTCTGAAAAATGATTTGTTTTATTTTGTTGGTGTAAGTTTGTTTGATTTAGATATATGAATGTCTGTATATTAATCAGAAATTATTTCAATCTTAGATCAGTGCATTAATTTCCAATTACATGTAATTCATACTTGTAATTGTCTGAATAAACATTGTCATTGTCATTTATGTCATTCGTAATAGCAAGTGAATGCATTAAATATTTTTTAAATTTATCCTTAATAGGCATGGACTGGCCAGAACTGACTATCACATAGTGCATGACCCCAAGCTCTGCTTTAGGGACATCATGTTACAATATGAAAAACTACAGCAGGAAAAACTGGCTCAAGCTATGCAAGGGACAATGACCAGATTAAAAGGTATGTGAACTTTCATTATAATTTCAATCAAACATGGAAGCATACTATATGAAGTTACTTCCAATAAATGTTTAGTGATTTGTAAACCTTGCAGTTTGAAGATTTGACTCGGATGAGCACTTTCTGGAATTCCTCTTGAAGTATTAATAATGCTATATAATGCCTTGTTTTTGTTAGTTGATTAAATTTATCAGGGTGTAAAAAAAATTTAAGTTCAAAACAATTTTTATGGTGATTTGTGTATTTAGGTTTCCCCTAATACAAATTGTTTGTTTTTAAATTTATTTATTTCTTTATTATTGTCATTTTACAGACAAACCAGCCTCAATGGGGAAAGCTGAAGACTCTCAAGATTCCACAGAACTCGGTCACAGCACAGAACAACACCCAGATACCACAAAGGCACCCAAATTAGAAACCAAGGAAGATATTAAGGAGGAAGAGATAGTCAAAGCATCTGTTGATGGAGATACCAAACCAGATCTCAAGACGGAAACAAAGACAGAAACAGAGGAGGAATCCAATGATGTTGAAATGAAAGAAACTGAAACCCCATCAGAAAATGATGTTAAATCAGAGGTGAAATCTGAAGAAACTGTAAAGTCAGAGACTGCCATGGAAGTGAAGGAGGAAATTTCAAATGATGAAGTAAAAGAAGAGGTTGAGGAAGAGAAAGTTAAGGAGGAAGTTAAAGAAGTAAAAGAGGATGAGGTTGAGGCTAAGGCTGATGATGCCACGACGGGAGTGAATGGCTCACAGGAAGGTGATGTCGTTCAGGACAAAGGGGAAGGAAGGGAACCAACCAGAGATGAAGAGAAGGAAAAGAAGCCTCCAGCCACCCCTCCACCATCATCATCAGCAGCAGTAGAGAAACATGAGGAGGACAGACCCATGCCAGTCTTGACTCCTGTTGCTCAGTTGTTGAACCAGAATGAAGACACCAACCATAGCACAGACCTTGAGGGAATAGATCCGTCCACAGATCTTATATTTCGTCCATTTAGAGGAATTGGTTTCAGCTGGCCTAAGGTAAGGGATACATTTTGTGCCCTCCCTCTCTCTTGTGCGAATACAGAAACATACAAATGTACTCTTTCTAACTTGGTAATATTGTTGTAGACTCTCCAGAAGAAGCTAGTTTTGATTTGACCTAATTTCAGTAATAGAAGGATTTGTTAGAATAGAGGGGAAACCTACTGATAATAATTCTGGTGTAAAATAACCTTCCATGTTTAAAACACAGTAAAGAATTAAATATAAATTTAGACAAAAGATGCCACGAAACTGTAGATATAACAAAATCATATTTTCTTCCCTCCTAGGACCGTGTAATATTCCATCGACTTGAGAACGTCTGCACCTGTATTGAGAAAGGAGAGTGGCCCGCCTACAGGAAGATGACAGAATACTATGGTGACACTCCCGTTGGCACCCCTTCTTCCACTCCTCGTCCAGAGACCCCAGGAAGCAGCCGAGCAGGAACACCAGACCCTGTCTATTTTGGATTGCAGAAGGTGAAAAGAAAACGCCATGGTGGCATTGGCGGTGGTGGCGCTAAGGAATTTAATGTTGCTATATCGGAGGTAGGGGAGGTTAGGGTAGATTAGGTCATAGTGGGTTGGGTTGGAATTTCGACCGTGGATTGCAGTGGCTTTCATTAATCATGCCTTCTTGTCCTTGTGCAGTTGTTGTGGATTTTTGTCTTTGTACGAGGAAACCTGAGGATCTTGTAGTCTCAGTTGATGTTTTTCACAGGGGTTGCTGAGTGCAGGTAGGTTGGGATGGATTTTTTTTTTTTTTTTGGGGGGGGGGGGGGGGGGTTAAGCTGTGGATTGTAATGGTTTTGCCTGACCAGATCTTTAACCTCTGCTGTTGATGTCATGGAAGTCTGAAACTTCTTGTACCACCATCAAGGGTGCAGTTTGCTGTGGTTATGACTGGTTGGAATTTCATTTGTGAGTTGCTGTGGCTCAAAATTAACCATTTTCCTACTTTCGCTGCTGTTGTTCTGTAAAAAAAAACATCTTGTTAGGTTGGGAAATGGACTTTCATTTGTAAGTTACTCAGTCTTTTAAAGTTAACCACTTTCACTACTATATTGGGCTTCCCTGGCGATTGAAGTGACTTCTCTCTGCTCTTTGAAGCTTTGTTATTGTTAGTTTTATGCAGACCAATTAACTTCATGTCATACTATATGTTTGTGATTAAATTGTTCTAATAATAGGCAGATGCTTAAAAAGTATACTAGTATATTTTTCTTTATTTGCCAGCTCAAATAGAGACTATGCTTCAGTGAATACTCATAACCATTCTTTCCTTAGTATTTACAGTCCAATTTTTTTCTCATTTCCAGGGTGATGGATTGAAACTTACCATACAGAGAGGCAGGAAAAGTAAAAGAAAGCAGGACCTTGGGGACGTGGCCAGGTTACGTGAGCTCCTGGGTGAGAGCGAGGGAGAGCTCAGTGAGTCCAGCATGAGCATGCATGACTCCATGGCAGCCTCAGAGAGCAGCCTGCTCAATGGCAGCAAAAATTTGGAGTTCAGCTTGGGCGAGGAGGACACAAACCAGTCCACTTTACAGGTAAAATAGGGAGTCAGTATGATGGATAACCAAAAAATAGGCAGGGGGAGGGGGAGTTTTTTGTGATAGTCAGTGATAGGATCAAAGCACTTCGATGAAAGATGATGTCTGATAGGTAAAAACGTTCAGCTTCTTAGGAAACTGACTTTTTATTACCAAGAAAAAAATTCTGAAATTTTTTTTGTTTGGTTTAAGTCATATTAGTAGTCCCATTCTTTAGAGGATAATCATATTCACAGTGGGCCTTATGAATTTGCAGGAATTTGGTGAAGTGAAGAAAAAGAGACGAGGACGAAAACGCAAAATTGATAAGCTGATGGAGGCTGCAGCCCTGGCCGCAGCAGGCGCTTCCACCCCTATTCCTGTTATGCCTTCGTTTAAAAGGCCGGCATTAGAATTGGATCCAGGTAATTTGTTTTCCCTTTCAACACTTTGTTGACAAATTTAGGTTCATGTTTGGAAATGGAACTTTTGTTGAATATTAAAGATAATGTTTTTTTGTTTGTTTGTTTGTTTGTTTGTTTGTTTGTTTGTTTGTTTTTCCATAATCGTGACTATCGATTGTTAAGGTGACATTGGTACAAGCACTTAGATGTTTTAGAATACTGTGTCATGAATGGACCAGAAGTGTAAAAGACGTTTTGTGCACTTTGTCATTTTCTTATAAAATTATACAGCCCTGCAAAATAAATAGTTTATATGTGCAAGTAATTTTTGGCATAATAGTTGAGAAATTGCTTTTCATTAATCATTGTATTTTTCGTTTCCAAAAATTTTGTTCAAACCAAAGAAGAAAAGAAAAACATAATTTTAAGATGAAATTTTGATATTTCTTTCGACAATAGCAGAATACTTGTCCTTTTTTCAACCTTAATATTTTTTTCCCCAGAGGGACGTGTTCCTGTGGTGAATATAGAAGATGGCAGCAGACTATCTGGGGACGAGGCCCCCAAGAGAAAAGATCTGGAGAAGTGGCTGAGGCATCATCCTGGCTACATGGCAGATGATGATGAAGTAGAGGTCAGTCAGTTGCAGTCTCACTTTAATTTCCATTTTAGTCAGTCATGGTTAAGATAGTTGCTTTATGCTTTAAATGAGGAGGGGAATTTGACACATTTGTTTAGTGACATTTGTTCCTTTTTATTGAACTTGTGTTTANAGTTGCTTTATGCTTTAAATGAGGAGGGGAATTTGACACATTTGTTTAGTGACATTTGTTCCTTTTTATTAAACTTGTGTTTATTATTATTATTATTATTATTATTATTATTATTAATTCATTTTTCTGGAAATTTTAAAATTACAGAATGTACAAGACAAACATAGTTATTACAAATATGTATCAAACAATAAAATCTTTTCATTCATAAAGAGGACTTTGTTATGATTCCTAACTTAATGTCTTGCTATATTATTCAGGAACCCCCAGAGCCAGTTGTTTTTGAGAGGAGACGAGGACGTAAGCCTCGTGTTGACCCAGCAACATTGGACTTGAAGAAAATTACTGGGGACGAAAATGTATCTGTGATAAACAGGGAAACGGGCAAAAAGGTCATAATTTTAAAAGACAAAATGTGATAAAGATCATACAAATATTAATACTTTGGATGAATGTCAATGGTTAACAGCTGCTTTAAAATTGCCGCTAAAAAAAAAAAAAAAAAAAAAATACTAAATGCTATAATTTTTAACTTGAAGCAATTGGATAGTTTTAAGAAGTGTGAGTTTTCAGTTGAAAATTATTTTTAAGCATTCAACACTTTTAATGCACATAAGATACAGCTCCCCCCCCCAAAAAAAAAAAAAAAATGTTACTTATGATGTAGTTTGAGTTTAAAGTGTTATTATAAAATTGTTCAGTGCTACTCAAAGCCATAGTGCCTATAACATTACTTGCTCATTGCTTACTATTCTTCCAAACATGATTAAGGGATATTTATCTTAAAATATATTAATGCTTTTTTTACAGATCACTGGAGCAAAGGCTCCCCCACTGAAGTACTTAGCTGAGTGGTTGGATCAAAACGCTGCATTTGATGTTGACCCTAAATGGGCCCACATCGTCAGAGAGAAGGTAAAATGTTCACATAATGCAGATTTTGAATTTTTTTTTTAAGTGATTGTTTAACAGTAGGTGTGATTATCTTTTTTGGAATGTCAATAGATGCCCATACAGATTCAGTGTCACATTAAAAGATGATTGAATTTTGAATACAATGTACGGTAAATGTATTTTGAGAAAGTGTATGCAATATTGACTAGAAGGGAGATTTCATTAATGTTATGAATAAATACATCTCTGTTTAACTGGATGACTCTTTCATTCAATGCAGAAATGTAACAATAAAGGGACGTTATCAGCTTTGAATATTTAATGTAAAGTTAAGCATAATTCATAATTTTTTTTTCCATCTCATAACAGGTGAAGTTGCCTGAAAAGCTGAAATCTCGGGTGTTGACTCCCTCAGAGCGACGCACCAAGCGATCCACGGGATCCCCCTACTCTAGCATCGCTATGTCTGATCTAGGCTATCCGTCTGTCTCGACCATGAATGCCCTCTCCAGCCTAGGTGGCCGCATTCCGGGCTATCCCATGAACCTCGCCTTCGGTGGCCTCCCTGGCATGGGTCTGACCAACCCGCTGCTGGGGTATTCTGGTTTTGGATTGGCCGGAATTCCTGGGGTCGCTGTGACAACCAGCTCCTCGACCAAAACCAGTGACTCAAAATCAGACGGGAAATCCGAGGGTGGCAAAGGAGGAGGGGCCTCCTCCCCTTCCTCAGCTGCCTCTTTCCCATATTTATACAATCCACTTTTGTACAATCCATTGTTTGCCCAGAGCCTGGGCGGATTTTCTCTACCTCCGAACATCCCAACTTCCTTCGCGGCGCTTGCTCAAGCTAGTATTATGAATGGACTGCGTGGTGAGCGAGAGAGCGACGAAGTTGTGATCTCAGATGAGGAGCAGGTCGAAGCTCAGGATCTCTCCGTCAAGAAGAGCAGCAGTAGTGCCGAAAAGGCAGAAAGGAAAGAGAGACACAAGGAAAAGCACAGAATGAAATTAAAGGCACGAGAAGAGGCAATGGCCGCCATGGCTGGCGATGATGATTTACCTCAAGACTTGAGCATGTCAAAGCCAAAAAAGAGCCATTCTGACAAAGAAAAGGACAGACATCAAGAGAAAAGTAAACTAGGGTCCCCTCAGAAACACAGTACACCCCTTAAGACTACCCCCGAGAAAGATGGGGAACAAGAAATCTCCCCTACTCAGTTGAAAGAATCTGCCCCTTCAAAGCCCTCTCCTAAGCGAGGTTCTTTTCTTGAAAAGGCCATAGCAAAGTTGAAGAAGGCCACGGAAGGGGAAACGAACACTAAAGAGGACGGTGAGAAGGAAGAGAAAAGTTCAAACGTGGAGGATGTGGAAAATAAAGAACAGGGGGAGGAAGTCTCGACGTAACAGTGCGACTGACACGTTGTGTGCATTTGTGATATCGTGGTTAACCTTACTCGCTGCTAGCTGCTGGGAGAAAGACGTATTTGAAGTAAAGGGAGTACTTATGATTTTGTGGGCCCGGTGGAATTTTATGCTGACGCAGAAGAGAAAATCAAACGGGTCTCTCTCATATACATACATTACATACACCTTATCTCAGGAAATTCAAGACAATGTGCAAAGTTCATTTTGTTTATTTGAAGTATTATTAACATTTATTAGTCTGACTGTTGTGTTCTGTTGTCATGGCAACACGTTTTGGCATTGGAGCTGGAGGTTTGAGTTTCCAAGTTTTCAACTGATTTTTTTTTATTTAAAACGAGTGAGTACACTGCAAGCATGAACCTTTTTAAACACCTTCTCTGGATTTAGTCAATGGTTTATCACGTCTTTATTCATGTTTGTAACATGAATCTTTTTCTGGGATTTGATGTGTAGGGCATTTTGATTTGGAAAAGAAAATTCTGTCAGAAGAGGGTTGGATGCCGGGGCGAAGGTGCTATGCAAAAATACACGAACTTTTCTGTGAGATTTGGCATGTTTTAGTCCTCAATACTGCAAATCATCACCAAACCACTGTGATACCAATTAATTAATGAGTTGAAAATTTTATCAATTAATGCCATTTAACAGGTGGCTTCTTACTGTTATAGTTGTTGTCGTTTAAAATGCAGACAAATCATTTCATGCAGTGTTCTTTTTTAGCATAGCGCTTTGGTGGGCCGTGCTATATACTTTGCCAGAATTTTTCGTCCAATTTTTTTTAAACCTAGAAATGGGTGGATTTAAAACTACAGCAAGGGCAGGGAGATATGAGCTTCTTTTGGCAGGTAGATACTTTGCGATGACTCGGCAGGTTTTATGTTTCTTTTTAAGTCCGGCTGCTGGTATGAAATCCCGACGTCTCCCTATTCGTAGTCAATGGCAATTTTCCAAAAAACGAATAGACTTAATTGCTGTTTATATACATGGATCTTATTCAGGGATCTAATATTAATATTATTATCATCGTTTTCTTTTTTGTTGATTCATGTAATGTGGTGCAACAGAAACTTTTGTTTAATGTAAAATAATTGTACATAATATCAGTTAGTTAGAGAACACGTGCGTCGGGAGATAGCTACCCGTGTTTCTGAACATGCTCCTTCACCACGACACCTCGGGGAATTGGATCTCAAAAAATTAGGACATGTAATGTGCCTGTAGTGACTGTATACATCATTCTACCTTGGTCGAATTATTATTATTACAATTATTATTAATATGGATATTGATATCACAATTAATACTATTTAATTTCGATTTGTACCTTGTAAATGTGTGCTGTTCTACAGCATGAAAACTCCATTAGACAATACTTGTGCTTTGTGAATTGCATTTGTGAATTGTTGGGAGAGAGATTCTGATATCGAGTATCTATCTCAGATTTGCTTTCTAATGTTTGTGTTTACAACATTGACCATGGATATTTTACGCGTAAAATCGTTTTGAAATTCAATCATGTGGGAAAACTCGTCACATTCCCCGTTTTATACACTGCCTTTCAGCGATTCCCAAGCTTTGTTTTAGACCAACCCCACGTGCATTTAAATTATGATTGCCCTTATTGTCTGTAACTTGAACATATAAAAAGTGCATATTTGTATAATAGCGTGCCCATACACCGTCTACTTAAAACATTGTAAATAGCTTCCGGGATGGTCGAAAATAAGGCTTGGGCACAGGGGAAAGCGGTCAGGATGTCCTATCTCTTACTGCGGACTTGAAAGTCTAACAAACCAATCACGATACCCCGTGTTCATTATGTAGTAATGACACGCAGATCCCTAGTTCACTTTTTTCTTTTCTTAACTGTAAATAGAACTTTTTTGCTTGATAGCCTAGAACATACATTCTATTATATAATCATATACCATATCACAGCGTGTGTAAGTATTACAGCTTGATATTTATTGTTACTGAAAAACAACGTTGAAATACAAGACTGGAAAACGAAATTCTGATATTTTAATAATAAAGTATGGCTTTGGTAATCGGGTTGTGTTCTTTTGTTTAATAAAGACAGTTAAATTATGTTTTGTATAATTAGAATGTTTTGAGCAATAAGACGGTGTTGTTGCCCTGATGGGATTTATGGTCTCGCAGACGATCTAAGAAAAATGGCGGAAGTTTTCCGTCTCTGCTTGCCTTATGATGGAAGTCTGGAAATAAGCAGTTGGACATTGGATCTGATATAATATCACCAAATTAAGGTCTAGTAATGTTTAAAGCATTGTCATACCGACTAGCTTTGATGAATGAAAATAGAACTTTTTTAATTGAAAGCTTCTGAAGACCAAAGTCTGTTTTGCGTTAATAGCACTCCAGTCCATTTTCAATTAATTTATCTGATAAAAATATTAATGTAAAATTGCATTTCTCACTGGATGTGGTATTTTGTTCGTTTTATGACAACATAACAGTCCTTATATTGCTGGTAGAACGCTATAGATCAACACGGTTAATATGTAAGAAGCGTTTTTTGAAGTTTTTTAACGAAATCGCCTTATTATGCATGTCCACAATAGATTAACTCGTTACATGTACATATTAAGGCGATTTTCGTATTATCAAAGAAAAAAAAAAAACATCTCAAACGCCACTAAAAACGGTCAGTTATTTCGTGCCAAATGGCCACTTTTATATTAATATTAGTATATAGATGTTAACGAACAACAGCAACGACTTGCGCTTCTCTTTGCCTGTCGGACCAAGAAGGTGGTAGGGGAATTACCAATAAGTGAACAGACGAACAAATAAAATGAAAAATTAGAAATAATCACCACTGCCATACACCTTTATTCCCATCTCTTTTAAAAAGAAAAAGTAATAATAATGCCTCCAACAAATGCATTCTTTTTATTTTAGATTGGCGAAAAATACCTTCAATACTTTTTAATATGCATAAAGGCTTGTCATGCATCTGTATAGAAATGACAAAGGATTCGTGCGCAGTTCAAGCTGCTATAACAAAGGAGAGAGACTTTTGATTTACCGGTGTAGTTTAATTCCTGTTATAATTATTTCTTTTATCGTAATTATTATCATTATTTTGATAATCATCATAGTATTTGATGTTATTATATTATCAATATTTAGAAAGTAAATAAATATTTGAAGGCCACTGAAATCCACAACTTATTAACATTGGGGCTTTGCAGGAAAAGACGGCATACGATCCTATATTGTACGTTATATCTGTTTGCTTTAGAATATTACTGCAGGAGCTAAGGAAGTAATACCAATTTTAATTTTTTAATTTGCTTTTAATCCATAGGTTTAACTGTTTAATCTTATTTTACTTTGACTACAAATGAATTTCCAACGACATGCAAATCAATTCACTTTTGTGCTTTTAAATTTCATCTTCAAAATACAAAATGTTTGGTTTATCAACGCCGACTCTCTTTGTTTTTACCTGTCTTAATGTGCTAGGGGGTCTTTCACTCGAGGAATTTGTTGACAGTGTGGCAGGAACACACATCCCAGTAATGCCAGTCGTATTGGAATGCAAGTCCTATTAAGACTACCGTTACTAAATAATGGTAGTAACAGACCTCGGTTCCTGAAGGAGTTGGATTGTTGTTACACCGGCATAACTGATAACAAGCAAAAGAAAATAAATAAAATTCATTCTGTGAGGTACGCTGTTGTGTAACGTGAGTGACAAAGGTAATATGCGTGTCTAAACTTGTAGGCCTACGCCTAAGGTTTATATTTTTTTACTTGTAACTAGGATCCACTACACAAGAAGGGTTCTATAGTTTGTGAATAACGCTGCAGGTCGTTAGTTATCCGTATTTCACTCATCTTTTTAGACATTCATGGACGTTATTGACCGATTAGTGTGGTAGGGCCCACGTATTATTGTAGTACCCTATAATTTGATATGTTTTATATGGATCAAGGATTGATTAATTCATATCACGCATGCAACTATTGATTCATGATTCATAACTAGGAAATGTCTGAATTACGTCATCTTTAAATCGAACCGATAGAGATAGCCTTCCCCCCCCCCAATATATTGCATAGGCTATATTTCTTGACGTTAAACTTAATAAAATGGTTTTGATTGGCACACGTTCGTTTGAAAGTGGTAGAAATTTTTAGTTTTATTACTATTTTTATAAATCTAGCAATATTTTATTTATTGATTGATTTACTTATTAAATTTTAATTCATTAGGCCTACTTGTTATTTCAATCAAGGCATAGATAAGAGGGTCTTAAGGTACTTATAAATTATAAAATCTTACTGTAATGCCGGGATCCTGAAGTTACAAAGTTTTCGAATTGTCAGGGGAGTGACTGTGCGAGGCAGTAGGCAGTATAGTGAATATCGTTGTGGGGGAGTAATGATGCGGGGACAAAATGGATAGACCCACAAAGTCTACCAATCTTAAGGGGAGAGCTATATACATTCACAATAAAAATTAACGAATAATTACTTAAATAGCGACAGGGGATTCTCCTTAGCCCTCTGCTACCTTTGCTTTTCAGGGGCTAAGCCCCAATTTCCACCCCTTGGTTTTTATAGTCGGTGACTATTCTTGTTTGAAGAAGAAGAAAAAATGTATTGAATTTTGTTTGTGTGTTGCATTTTAAAAATACAATGAACTCCTATCCAGAAAAAAATCTACTTTTATTCAAGATAAGTTTTATTCAAGATGAAAATTTCTGTCGTAGACAGAGGCGCCACCTTTAAGCAAAAATTCCAACTAGGTCAGTGTTTTGATTGACAGGTTTGCGGCTTGAATGGATCGGTGCTTGTATAAAGCTAGCATGCACTATATATGCACCAAAGTATCAAAATAATCACCAATCTGATAAACTTCAAGGCAAAACTACACTATAATATCGATAAATTGCATCGGCTACCAACCAGTACAATTATTTTTACACTTATTAACACATTTGGACAAAACCACTAATTAATGCAGCTACCCCGCGTAAGTACGTTTTCGCGCACATCTATTGGCTAAAATTTCCCGCCACGAGAGGAGCGTGAGTTATGTTATGATCAGACCGGCCATTGTTAAGTACAACGCGAAAGATTGTTTATAGCTCCTGAACGACAAAGATGGGGCTGTCAGAGGAAGGCGAGGATAATGTTGAGAAACGCTTCGAAGACTTATGTCTGGAACTGAACATGGACCAAAGTGCAAAAGAAGAGGCATGGGAACATTACGAGAGAATAAACACAAATTACACGTTGGAGGTGAGTTCGATTTTGTGGCAGCCATCTTTAAATGTCTTAACAAAATATGTCGATTTCACTATGAAATTTACATGAAAAACACATCAGCAAGTGCACGTTTTGTGGCAGATCAATCCTTTACAAATATGCAACATGTAAGAAAAATCTGTTGCTTTTTTATTCATTAGGGAGACACCATTCACTGGTTAGCTTGCGCGCTGTATCATGCTTGTCGGCGTACGGTCATTCCGACCGTCGGTCGAGGGGTTATTGAGGGAAATTGCGTCTCCCTGACACGACTCCTGCGATCTGCCAAGCTTAGGTGAGTATTTAAGGTCTGAGATGAATGGGGCTAAAATCTTTGTTGATATGCATTTTGTAATCTTGCATATTTATAAACATAAACACCCAAGACCTTGACCCAGATTTTGCCTTTTTGGTGTTAGTTTGCAGCCTGCTTCCCTGGACGGAAAGGTCCTTGTGATGGGTTTTCATGACAGTTTGGACTTGGTATGATAACTGTGTTCATTGTGTTTTAGATGTTGTGCTAAGGCATCCTCTTTGTTTGTGGTGTTATTTAAAAACTGCTTGAGGTATCTGGTCTAAACTTTTATTGAATTTCAATCGTACATTATTGACAAATGCTGCGGTGGTGTGGGTTGGGGGATGTTTCCCCTAGATATCAAGTCAAATGAAGAATAAAGGACCCAAAGTTATATTCAGTTCATGTCATCTGGGAGTTTGTTAATAGATGTGAACTCAAATAAGGCTACATGAATTGTGAATTATTCTTTGAGATTACCCAGTAAAACTTTGAGGGAAAGGGCTATTCGGTGATTTTCCACAGTGAAGAGGTTGGCCAATTGCATTGGTGTACTTTCGAAGTATTCATGAAATTCTTTTCCCATGTGTATTCCATAGAAAAATCTATGAGCTACATTGGATTATATTTCCCATCAGGACTAAGTCATATATTAATTCTGCTTTAACCAAAAAGCTGAAAAAAAAACACCCAATCGTGATTTTAAGTCAAAATAGGGATTAAAGGTAAATATTTTAGTCTGGTTTTTATGTAGCACACTCCGCTGCCTCTCAGTGTGGTTTACAATAACAATATGCCTGGCATATTTACACTTTTTTCTTGTCCCTGATGCTGAATGGGTGTAGACGTTCTTGCCTCCCTGGGAAAATAACTGTAATTTTTTATTGTCAAGGTGAATTATCTGTACCATTTGGTGAAAATTGTATATTCTAACATTCACCCAACCCATATTCCTTTATGTGGTAGATATGTTGATTAAAACCTCCTGTTGCTTGAAGCTTGAAAAATAAACAATTATATCCCAGCATAATTTTGGTAATATCAGGGTTCCCCATGTATTTATGACACACCCATCTTCATTCTTATTATGAAATGATACTACCTTCTTGTTTAAAAAAATAAAAGGAGCAAAGTATATAGTGCCTTGTCTCTGACATGCCACAAAATCCTTCATGTCCCTGATGTAGTAACTTGGTAAAATTACAACATATCAATGCATAATTGAAAGAATATCATGGCTGTCAAGTTATATACGTATATATGCATTTTACAGTATTCCACATATTTATGACTTCCCACTCTTGTTGCTCATCAGTAGAGGAGTTATTTCTTTTAAATATGAATCTGGTACAAAAGAAACAGCCCCCAGTCAGTCGAACATTTTGCCAAATTCAATATTTCTGGGATGCAGTTGCATGATAAAAATTAGATCTATGCATATTAATCACTGTTAATATTGACAAATCTTCTTTGTTTAACCTGAATCTTGATGATCCAACTGATATGGAGGGTAAAATAAACAGTCACAGCTATGTTTTTTTTTAATCCTCTGGCACAAAAAGGATCTTATATATTTAGTTTTTTTGAAGATTTGATGTCCGAGTAGCCTTAAAAAGTGCTTTCATATTATGATGCACAGATGCCAAAGAAAAACTTTTCTTTCCAAAGTTTTTTTCTTGTTTTGACTTACACAAGTGAATGCTGATAGGGAAAGCTTTTGAATAAATCCAGATTTTTGGGTATTTTTTAATTCGGTTACTAGTAAATAGGATTTTTAATCTCGTGATTTGCAGATACAGAAGTTGAACTTATTTGACATGAATGCAGGAATTATTCTTTTGTCCAATTATTCATGGATACAGGATTTTAACTCCTGTGATTGGTGGATACAGACTTAAAATTTTTAGGCATTATAAGTGATACAGAATTTGAACTCTTGTGATATGTGAAAACAGGATTTTTTTACACTGTTCCTTTGTTCCCCAGATACTGGACTTAAACTGTTGTGGCAATTGGCATATTTGCATCCTATCCAAATTATACAACTAACTTGTCCTGTAGCTGCGTGATTAGTATTATTGGCCAGGTTTTGTATTGACACGTGTGGCCCACACCCCTCTATTGATAGGCTCTCCACCATCCTATACCAACATCATGTCTGTTATGTTTGGAAACATGCACCAAGTGTTTATTATTTGTCTCCATTTTCAGTCTTCTCCAGTTTTTCAACAAGATGAAGAAGTGGGCCGACATGGCCAACTTTGCACAAGAATTCCGCGACAAGGTGGACAGATTGGAACGCAACTTTGCCGTCTCTACGGTGATTTTCAAAAAATTTGAGCCAATATTTTTGGATATATTTAAGAATCCTGCTGACGATCCTCCTAAACAGGTTAGGAGTAGAAAACAGAGGTGAGAAGGTTTTTCCCCAAAGGAATATATGACAGAATTATTATTATATTGATTTCCCCTTTGATCAGTTTATAGGTGGAGCCTCTAAAGTGCCCTCATGATTATCATCTGCTCACAAAATTTGCTGGTGTATTTCTAAAATACAACTTACTGACTACCATTGATGCAAAGTGCATTTGGCACAATCCAAAGATTTTTTTTTTTCAAAAATCTAATAGCTAACAAATCTCCTTATCTCCCAACAACATATATAGTTTAGCTGTATTCTGATCCAAATTGGAACCACCACTGTAGCTGAGCAAAGTCACGTCACGTGTCAAACAGAGCACAATGCAGGGATGAGATTTTTAGACTATTGGCAGATTTCAGGTTTTTAAGGATAAAAAATATCATTTCTTAGATAAGTGCAGATCTGCAATGAAAATATGGGGGGGGGGGGGGGGTAAAAGCAGGGATTAAAAGCAGTAAGCTTTGAGCTATATGATGGTTTTTACTAGTCAGTTATATTTTTTGACATTTTTCAAGATTATTTTTAAAGATTATTGACAGTTGCATGGATATCTGTATATTTTTTGTGATATTTCTTTACATCTTCGTCATATTTCTTTATTTGTTTATTTTGTGTGAAATGGTTGTATTTTCCATCTAGAGTCAATGTATGAATCGTGTAGACACACTTTAACACAGTATTTTGAATTAAAAATATTCAAAAATATAATTTGGAATGGGGATTTAATGTAAGTCCTGAATGTAAGCCCATGATAATTTGTTCCATTCTTGTTTTTCAGGCGCCTGCCTTGTACTCCTTCTGATGTGTTCAATTTCTGTTGGACCATGTTTGTCCAAGTAAAAGGTACGTTTCTTGGTGGCTTGTTCAAATAGAATAATGCATGAAATATAAAATTTAATTCAGTGATATTCTTAAATACAAACCTATAGGTTGATACAAACATTGTTTCAGTTATAGTGTGCCTTCACAATGAAATGATCCTACTAAGTAACTCTGCAGGGACTCACACTGAATACAGTAAGATTAACTGAATTACATGCCTCCTTGACCAGCTAGGGAGGGATTAAATTTTGTGTGCGCTGAGCTTCTGGAAGCTTTTTGAATTCATTTTGAGTTGGAGCTATAAAATATAAGATAGTGAATCACTCTCTAGCTGCTCCAAGATTCTCACGAAGTTGGATCGATCAACATAGTATGATGGTTTCATTGGAAACTCGCTTGTAAACAATAAGGCAAATCGAAAAAAAATGGATTTATGGCCAAGCATGGGGAAAATAAAGCTTTATCTATGGTTTTAAATTTAAAATTAAAGCATAAACTCTTCAGTTATCACCCCTAGATCTAAAAGCCTATCAGATGTATTAAAAAGTAAAGAGCACAAGGAGCCCCTCAGCTATACAAATGAAGAATGCCTCTGTTTGCCTTGTCATATATATATGCTGAATTTGTTTGTTTTTACTGAATTAAAAAATAAGACAGTAAATTCTAAATTATGATCACACTTGCTCTTGGTGGCTTTTGCATTAAGATTGTTTATGTATCTTTTCTTTGTCATGAAGTACACAGTGGGATACCAATTAATTTGTCAAAATTGCATTACTTGAAAAAATTTTCAGCGGTGGATAGGAAATTGTAAAAATGTGTACTAAGCAAAAACTAAAGCTTTTAGAGCTTATAATACCGTTGTTTGGACATAAAACTTATTTCCCTCTATTTGATTGATCTTTATATCATGTTATAAACCTCCTCTTTTTTTTTTTTTTTTTAAATGCGGTATTCTGCACAATTGATTTAAAGCCTGGAAAGTGATGGGCTATCTGAAATAACAATATGTTAAACCAGTTACCAGATGACTGTGCTATTTTTATCTGCGAGGCAGCGCACCTGCAATTTCTATTGCAGACACTGGGTTTTCATTTGTGTACTGTATTTTACTTTTTTCTTTTCTTTTTTTTCCCCACTTTTTCTTTTACACAAGGCTTTTTATTAATTGTAATTGGGTTATTCATAGTTTCGAACCTAATGACTTTTAAGTATATGTTTGACTTAACGTCAAGTGGTGTTTTTTTAGAAATGGAGTTTCCATGTGTAAGTGGCTTTGATGATAAGTTTTTTGTTTGGCCATTTAGACAAAGTGATCTTTTTGATAAGTCTTTTTTACCTCTTCATAAAATTTATGTGCAGATTGAGTGTTTCTGTGTGTTTGTCTATTAATTGAGCTTTTAATAATTATAAGAAATTTTTGGCAAGAAATAAGTACCAAAAGCTGTTCAATTTACTATGGATAATTAAAACAGCATGGAGTAGGGTCTCTGGAAATGAGAATTTTCCACAGCTATGTTTCACTGCTTTCACTTTTTTTAATGATTATTCACAGCTTTATGAATATGTGAGGCACTGAAACTAAATGATGAAAACAACAGCACTGTACTCCTTGTCATAAATGTGGTGATTTTACTATGTGGAACCAATATGTGACTCATATATATATATATATATATATATATATTTTCATTTGTTCATTATAATTTTCTCCTATGTGTCATTTTTTCCCCTCTAGCATGTACTTGTGTTCTAAAATTGGTGACTGATTTATNCTTGTTTTTAAGTTTTTCTAACGAAATTGCCTTAATATGCATGTCCACAATAGATAAACTCGTTACATGTACATATTAAGGCGATTTTCGTATTATCAAAGAAAAAAAAAAAACATCTCAAATGCCACTAAAAACAGTCAGTTATTTCGTGCCAAATGGCCACTTTTATATTAGTATTAGTATATAGATGTGAACGAACAACAGCAACGACTTGCGCTTCTCTTTGCCTGTCGGACCAATAAGGTGGTAGGGGAATTACCAATAAATGAACAAACAAACTAATAAAATGAAAATTTAGAAATAATCACCACTGCCATACACCTTTATTCCCATCTCTTAAAAAGAAAAATTAATAATAATGCCTCCAACAAATGCATTCTTTTTATTTTAAATTGGCGAAAAATACCTTCAATACTTTTTAATATGCATTAAGGCTTGTCATGCATCTGTATAGAAATGACAAAGGATTCGTGTGCAGTTCAAGCTGCTATAACAAAGGAGAGACACTTGAGTTACCACTGTAGTTTAATTCCTGTTATGATTATTTCTTTTATCGTAATTATTATCATTATTTTGATAATAATCATAGTATTTGATGTTATTATATTATCAATATTTAGAAAGTAAATAAATATTTGAAGGCCACTGAAATCCACAACTTATCAACATTGGGGCTTTGCAGGAAAAGACGGCATACGATCCTATATTGTACGTTATATCTGTTTGCTTTAGAATATTACTGCAGGAGCTAAGGAAGCAATACCAATGTAAATTTTTTATTTGCTTTTAATCCATAGGTTTAACTGTTTAATCTTATTTTACTTTGACTACAAATGAATTTCCAACGACATGCAAATCAATTCACTTTTGTGCCTTTAAATTTCATCTTCAAAATACAAAATGTTTGGTTTATCAACGCCGACTTTCTTTGTTTTTACCTGTCTTAATGAGCTAAGGGGTCTTTCACTCGAGGAATTTGTTGGGAGCACGCATCCTAGTAATGCCAGTCGTATTGGAATACAAGTCCTACCTATATTAGTTACGAGTCAGGAACCTAGGTCCTATTAAGGCTACCGTTACTAAATAATGGTAGTAGGCCTAACAGACCTCGGTTCCTGAAGGAGTTGGATTACTGTTACACCGGCATAACTGATAACAAACAAAAGAAAATAAATAAAATTTATTCTGTGAGGTACGCTGTTGTGTAGCGTGAATGTCAAAGGCAATATGCATGTCTAACCTTGTACGCCTAAGGTTTATATTTTTTACTTGAAACTAGGATCCACTACACAAGAAGGGTCCTATAGTTTGTGAATAACGCTGCTGGTCGTTAGTTTTCCGTATTTCATTCATCTTTTTAGACATTCATGGACGTTATTGACCGATTAGTGTGGTAGGGCCCACGTATTATTGTAGTATAATTTGAGATGTTTTATATGGATCAACGATTGATTAATTCATATCACGCATGTAACTATTGATTCATGATTCATAACTAGGAAATGTCTGAATTACGTCATCTTTAAATCGATCCGATAGAGATAGCCTCCCCCATATATTGCATATATTTCTTGACGTTAAACTTAATATAATGGTTTTGATTGGCACACGTTCGTTTGAAAGTGGTCGAATTTTTTAGTTTTATTACTATTTTTATAAATCTAGTAATATTTTATTTATTTATTGATTTAGGCCTACTTATTGAATTTTAATTCATTACTTGTTATTTAAATCAAGGCATAGATAAGAGGGTCTTTAGGTATTTGTCAATTATAAAATCTTACTGTAATGCCGGGATCCTGAAGTTACAAAGTTTTCGAATTGACTGCGCGAGGCAATAGTGAATATCGTTGTGGGGGAGTAGGCTAATGATGCGGGGACAAAAATGGATAGCCCCACAAAGTCTACCAATCTTAAGGGGAGAGCTATATACATTCACAATAAAAATAAACGAATAAATACGTAAATAGCGACAGGGGATTCTCCTTAGCCCTCTGCTACCTTTGCTTTTCAGGGGCTATATAAGCCCCAATTTCCACCCCTCGGTGACTATTCTTGTTTGAAGAAGAAAAAAAAATAAATTGAATTTTGTTTGCGTGTTGCATTTTAAAAATACAATGAACTCCTATCCAGAAAAAAAATCTACTTTTATTCAAGATAAGTTTTATTCAAGATGAAAATTTCTGTCGTAGACAGAGGCGCCACCTTTATGCAAAAATTCCAACTGGGTCAGTGTTTTGATTGACAGGTTTGCGGCTTGAATGGATCGGTGCTTGTATAAAGCTAGCATGCACTATATATGCACCAAAGTATCAAAATAATCACCAATCTGATAAACTTCAAGGCAAAACTACACTATAATATCGATGCATTGCATCGGCTACCAACCAGTACAATTATTTTTACACTTATTAACACATTTGGACAAAACCACTAATTAATGCAGCTACCCCGCGTAAGTACGTTTTCGCGCACAGCTATTGGCTAAAATTTCCCGCCACGAGAGGAGCGTGAGTTATGTTATGATCAGACCGGCCATTGTTAAGTACAACGCGAAAGATTGTTTATAGCTCCTGAACGACAAAGATGGGGCTGTCAGAGGAAGGCGAGGATAATGTTGAGAAACGCTTCGAAGACTTATGTCTGGAACTGAACATGGACCAAAGTGCAAAAGAAGAGGCATGGGAACATTACGAGAGAATAAACACAAATTACACGTTGGAGGTGAGTTCGATTTTGTGGCAGCCATCTTTAAATGTCTTAACAAAATATGTCGATTTCACTATGAAATTTACATGAAAAACACATCAGCAAGTGCACGTTTTGTGGCAGATCAATCCTTTACAAATCTGCAACATGTATGAAAAATCTGTTGCTTTTTTATTCATTAGGGAGACACCATTCACTGGTTAGCTTGCGCGCTGTATCATGCTTGTCGGCGTACGGTCATTCCGACCGTCGGTCGAGGGGTTATTGAGGGAAATTGCGTCTCCCTGACGCGACTCCTGCGATCTGCCAAGCTTAGGTGAGTATTTAAGGTCTGAGATGAAATCTTTGTTGATATGCATTTTGTAATTTTGCATATTTATAAACATAAACACCCAAGACCTTGACCCAGATTTTGCCTTTTTGGTGTAAGTTTGCAGCCTGCGTCCCTGGACGGAAAGGTCCTTGTGATGGGTTTTCATGACAGTTTGGACTTGTTATGATAACTGTGTTCATTGTGTTTTAGATGTTGTGCTAAAACATCCTCTTTGTTTGTGGTGTTATTTAAAAACTGCTTGATGTAACTGGTCTAAACTTTTATTGAATTTCAATCGTACATTATTGACAAATGCTGCGGGGGTGAGGGTTGGGGGATGTTTCCCCTAGGCTGTCAAGTCAAATGAAGAATAAAGGACCCAAAGTTATATTCAGTTCATGTCATCTTGGAGTTTGTTAATAGATGTGAACTCAAATAAGGCTACATGAATTGTGAATTATACTTTGAGATTACCCAGTAAAACTTTGAGGGAAAGGGCTATTCAGTGATTTTCCACTGTGAAGAGGTTGGCCAATTGCATTGGTGTACTTTCGAAGTATTCATGAAATTCTTTTCCCATGTGTATTCCATAGAAAAATCTATGATAATGAGCAACCTTGGATTATATTTCCCATCAGGACTAAGTCAAATATTAATTCTGCTTTAACCAAAAAGCTGAAAAAAAAACACCCAATCATGATTTTAAGTCAAAATAGAGATTAAAGGTAAATATTTTAGTCTGGTTTTTATATAGCACACTCCACTGCCTCTCTGTGTGGTTTACAATAACAATATGCCTGGCATATTTACACTTTTTTCTTGTCCCTGATGCTGAATGGGTGTAGACGTTCTTGCCTCCCTGGGAAAATAACTGTAATTTTTTATTGTCAAGGTGAATTATCTGTACCATTTGGTGAAAATTGTATATTCTAACATTCACCCAACCCATATTCCTTTATGTGGTAGATATGTTGATTAAAACCTCCTGTTGCTTGAAGCTTGAAAAATAAACAATTATATCCCAGCATAATTTTGGTAATATCAGGGTTCCCCATGTATTTATGACACACCCATTTTCATTCTTATTTTGAAGTGATACCACCTTCTTGTTTAAAAAAATAAAAGGAGCAAAGTATATAGTGCCTTGTCTCTGACATGCCACAAAATCCTTCATGTCCATGATGTAGTAACTTGGTAAAATTACAACATATCAATGCATAATTGAAAGAATATCATGGCTGTCAAGTTATATACGTATATATGCATTTTACAGTATTCCACAAATTTATGACTTCCCACTCTTGTTGCTCATCAGTAGAGGAGTAGAAGAGTATTTCTTTTAAATAAGAATCTGGTACAAAAGAAACAGCCCCCAGTCAGTCGAACATTTTGCCAAATTCAATATTTCTGGGATGCAGTTGCATGATAAAAATTAGGTCTATGCATATTAATCACTGTTAATATTGACAAATCTTCTTTGTTTAACCTGAATCTTGATGATCCAACTGATATGGAGGGTAAAATAAACAGTCACAGCTATGTTTTTTTTTAATCCTCTGGCACAAAAAGGATCTTATATATTTAGTTTTTTTGAAGTTTTGATGTCCCAGTAGCCTTAAAAAGTGCTTTCATATTATGATGCACAGATGCCAAAGAAAGGGCTCTTAGAAAAACTTTTCTTTCCAAAGTTTTTTTCGTTTTGACTTACACAAGTGAATGCTGACAGGGTAAGCTTTACAAAGAAGAAAGTATTTTGAATAAATCCAGATTTTTGGGTATTTTTGATTTCAGTTACTAGTAGATAGGATTTTAAATCTTGTGATTTGCAGATACAGAAGAACTTATTTGACATGAATGCAGGAATTATTCTTTTGTCCATTTATTCAGGGATACAGGATTTTAACTCCTGTGATTGGTGGATACAGACTTTAAATTTTTAGGCATTATAAGTGATACAGCATTTGAACTCTTGTGATATGTGAAAACAGGATTTTTTTACACTGTTCCTTTGTTCCCCGGATACTGGACTTAAACTGTTGTGGCAATTGGCATATTTGCATCCTATCCAAATTATACAACTAACTTGTCCTGTAGCTGCGTGATTAGTATTATTGGCCAGGTTTTGTATTGACACGTGTGGCACACACCCCTCTATTGATAGGCTCTCCACCATCCTATACCAACATCATGTCTGTTATGTTTGGAAACATGCACCAAGTGTTTATTATTTGTCTCCATTTTCAGTCTTCTCCAGTTTTTCAACAAGATGAAGAAGTGGGCCGACATGGCCAACTTTGCACAAGAATTCCGTGACAAGGTGGACAGATTGGAACGCAACTTTGCCGTCTCTACGGTGATTTTCAAAAAATTTGAGCCAATATTTTTGGATATATTTAAGAATCCTGCTGACGACCCTCCTAAACAGGTCAGGAGTAGGAAACAGAGGTAAGAAGGTTTTTTTCCCAAAGGAATATATGACAGAATTATTATATTGATTTCCCCTTTGATCAGTTTATAGGTGGAGCCTCTAAAGTGCCCTCATGATTATCATCTGCTCACAAAATTTGCTGGTGTATTTCTAAAATACAACTTACTGACTACCATTGATGCAAAGTGCATTTGGCACAATCCAAAGATTTTTTTTTTTTTTAAATTTAATAGCTAACAAATCTCCTTATCTCCCAACAACATATATAGTTTAGCTGTATTCTGAGCCAAATTGGAACCACCACTGTAGCTGAGCAAAGTCACGTGACGTGTCAAACAGAGCACAATGCAGGGATGAGATTTTCAGACTATTGGCAGATTTCAGGCTTTTAAGGATAAAAAAATATAATTTCTTAGATTAGTGCAGACCTGCAATGAAAATATGGGGGGGGGGGGGAGCAGGGATTAAAAGCAGTAAGCTTTCAGCTATATGATGGTTTTTACTAGTCAGTTATATTTTTTGACATTTTTCAAGATTGTTTTTAAAGATTATTGACAGTTGCATGGATATCTGTATATTTTTTGTGATATTTCTTTACATCTTCGTCATATTTCTTTATTTGTTTATTTTGTGTGAAATGGTTGTATTTTCCATCTAGAGTCAATGTATGAATCGTGTAGGCACACTTTAACACAGTATTTTGAATTAAAAATATTCAAAAATATAATTTGGAATGGGGATTTAATGTAAGTCCTGGATGTTAGCCCATGATAATTTGTTCCATTCTTGTTTTTCAGGCGCCTGCCTTGTACTCCTTCTGATGTGTTCAATTTCTGTTGGACCATGTTTGTCCAAGTAAAAGGTACGTTTCCTGGTGGCTTGCTCAAATAGAATAATGCATGAAATGTAAAATTTAATTCAGTGATATTCTTAAATACAAACCTATAGGTTGATACAAACATTGTTTCAGTTATAGTGTGCCTTCACAATGAAATGATCCTACTAAGTAACTCTGCAGGGACTCACACTGAATAAAGTAAGATTAACTGAATTACATGCCTCCTTGACCAGCTAGGGAGGGATTAAATTTTGTGTGCGCTGAGCTTCTGGAAGCTTTTTGAATTCATTTTGAGTTGGAGCTATAAAATATAAGATAGTGAATCACTCTCTAGCTGCTCCAAGATTCTCACGAAGTTGGATCGATCAACATAGTATGATGGTTTCATTGGAAACTCGCTTGTAAACAATAAGGCAAATCGAAAAAAAAATGGATTTATGGCCAAGCATGGGGAAAATAAAGCTTTATCTATGGTTTTAAATTTAAAATTAAAGCATAAACTCTTCAGTTATCACCCTTAGATCTAAAAGCCTATCAGATGTATTAAAAAGTAAAGAGCACAAGGAGCCCCTCAGCTATACAAATGAAGAATGCCTCTGTTTGCCTTGTCATATATATATATGTGCTGAATTTGTTTGTTTTTACTGAATTAAAAAATAAGACAGTAAACTCTAAATTATGATCACACTTGCTCTTGGTGGCTTTGGCATTAAGATTGTTTATGTATCTTTTCTTTGTCATGAAGTACACAGTGGGATACCAATTAATTTGTCAAAATTGCATTACTTGAAAAAATTTTCAGCGGTGGATAGGAAATTGTAAAAATGTGTACTAAGCAAAAACTAAAGCTTTTAGAGCTTATAATACCGTTGTTTGGACATACAACTTATTTCCCTCTATTTGATTGATCTTTATATCATGTTAGAAACCTCCTTTTTTTAAATGCGGTATTCTGCACAATTGATTTAAAGCCTGGAAAGTGATGGGCTATCTGAAATAACAATATGTTAAACCAGTTACCAGATGACTGTGCTATTTTTATCTGCGAGGCAGCGCACCTGCAATTTCTATTGCAGACACTGGGTTTTCATTTGTGTACTGTATTTTACTTTTTTCTTTTCTTTTTTTCCCCACTTTTTCTTTTACACAAGGCTTTTTATTAATTGTAATTGGGTTATTGATAGTTTCGAACCTAATGACTTTTAATGTGTGTATATGTTTGACTTAACGTCAAGTGGTGTTTTTTTAGAAATGGAGTTTCCATGTGTAAGTGGCTTTGATGATAAGTTTTTTGTTTGGCCATTTAGACAAAGTGATCTTATTGATAAGTCTTTTTCTACCTCTTCATAAAATTTATGTGCAGATTGAGTGTTTCTGTGTGTTTGTCTATTAATTGAGCTTTTAATAATTATAAGAAATTTTGGCAAGAAATAAGTACCAAAAGCTGTTCAATTAACTATGGATAATTAAAACAGCATGGAGTAGGGTCTCTGGAAATGAGAATTTTCCACAGCTATTTTTTCATGTTTCACTGCTTTCACTTTTTTATGAATATGTGAGGCATTGAAACTAAATGATGGAAACAACAGCACTGTACTCCTTGTAATAAATGTGGTGATTTTACTATGTGGAACCAATATGTGACTCATATATATATATATATATATATATATTCATTCATTTGTTCATTATAATTTTCTCCTATGTGTCATTTTTTCCCCTCTAGCATGTACTTGTGTTCTAAAATTGGTGACTGATTTACGAAAATGGGATGATTTTATAATATGATGAGAAACCCAATGTCACTTTTTATTTTTGGCCATTTATTTATTTTTTTTGGGTCTGTTTGCTTGTTTCATGGTTTTGTTTATTTAATTAAAATAAAAAAAAAGAAAAAAGTGTCAACCCATGATTGCATGAGATTTTTTCTAATGGAATATATATATGAGCATATTCATATTTAAATCTCAAATCTGTTTTCTTGGAATTGCTTCCTGTTCATTTACAGGTGAACAGTTCCAACGGAACCAAATATGTAGCAAAGTTCGGCAAAAATGTCATGATTAAGTTTTCTTGGAAGTAGTGCAATTACAAGTAAAAACTTGAAAAGTGTTCCAATTAAAAGCAGACATTCAGGACAAGTCTGCATATTTTGAGTATATTGCATTTCTCTTTCCCAGTTGGTTGTTTCATGGCATTTTGCATGCATAAATTTTTTTATCTCAGAGAAGGGATTTTATTTTGGAAAAAAAAAACAACGACTAGTATACATTATTAAATACCCTGTGCCTTAATGAAGTAAGCGACTAGCAGAGGATACATTTTGTGTGACAAATTTAATGTCAAAAGGGTTGTTACTATTTTTAGTAGCACAATTTCTAAAGTGAAGGACCAGGGTTCTTATTGTTTGGTATTGATTAAGTGTAAAACACAGGGGGCTCTAGGGTTACCCGCACGGTTTGTTTGCACTTGGTCCTGTGCTTTTTATAGCCATACAAACAGGTGCATGTTTTTAAAAAGATTTGCAAGCTTACGGTCTAATCTTTGTACGGGGCTGCCTGTTATGTCCGCTCTTTTTTCTTCCCCAATGCCCTGGTTTCCCAGGGCCCTCAGATATAGTAATATAATAGTAAAGCAACTGCCAAGCGTGTGAAAGATGGAGTGAGATTGAATGTGTTGATTGGCTGACTGATTTGTGGAGGGCAGGATTGACAGGGGGTTTGGCCAATGGAAAGACCTGGCCCCACCCCTTTTTTTTATCATGTACCAGCATGTTGGGATAACTGTTCATTTTATCAGAAAAGAATGTTGAGTTAGGGTGCCACGTCCAGTGCTGTAACTGTTGGTGACAGGGACAGAATTCGGAGATTTTGTTTCTAGTAAGTTCTTGGATCTTATAGTCTAGTTAACATTTATTTGCTGTGTGAACTCAAAAATCAAATGGATTTTTTTAGGTCATCTAATGCCAAGTGCTTAATTTTTTTTTATTATGGTATACTAATTAATGGTTTTGTACATGGTTCTTGTTACTACAAGACTATTTTCAACTTATGTTTCATTATGAAAAGTGGTGAAAAGTTTTATAAAATGGTGTACATATTGAAGAATGATGCTGGGGTGGATTTTAAAGTGTTGATTTTTTAAAACTCTTTGGTACTTTTAGATATGTGACATTGAAATATTTCAAATGGACAACTGACAGGAGGGAGGGGACATATAATCTTTTAAGTACTATGATTAAACATGCTATGATTAAACATACTACAAACATTTTGTGGAGCTTTCTTTTCTTAGTGATCTGGGATTTGGTTCCAAAAATCACCTGACTTAAGCGTGAATGGGTGTCAGTATATGATGGATGATAGTGGGTAATTCCTTGCGTCATTGGTCTTCATTTGTTTGCTAAGTAGAACAGTATCCCATGTTGAGCCTGGGGAAGGTACCTCTTTGTCTTTATTAGGTAGTTTAATATTTAAAAGGGGGAGGGGGTATATTATTAATATTTGTGGTGAAAAGTTGCCTATAGTTTTACTAGTAACCATCTGAAAATGTCTGAGATTTATTATCGTTGATTAAGGAAACTGTTGAAATAAGATTTCTTTTTCTTGTTCAGATGATATAAAACATCTGATATATTTATTTGTTTTATTATTTTTATTATTATGCATCATCTCTAACTGACCATAAACCAGTTTATATGTAAAGATTTGCTGTGGTTAGAGGTCTCACTTCCAAAATGAAACATGGCGTGACTTTGTCTAGACTATGTAGGTGAAACCTTTTGATTTGATTGCGTCAGCTCGTAAAATATGAAATGCCAAAATTTTTGTCCTCTCTGTCCTCCTTCGCAAACATCGTTATTGTGTTCAGGATTCTCCCCCATTCTTATAGTGAAATTATGATTGTCAGGGCTCACTTGATTTTTTTTTTTCTTTCTTTTTTTTTAATGATTTGTGACAAAAAAATCTCACTGATTACTGTCATGTCATACTTACGATTCATCTCTCCTTTAAAGAGAATTATGATGCGTGACAGTAGAGACCAACTTCAGGCTGTTTAAAGAGATCTTTTTCTGTACTTGATAATATCTATTTTTTTTGGAATAAAAACCATAGCACATGACTGAGGTATTATTGTTCAGGTGTCAGGCAACATCTGTGTAGCCTGATTTACTGTGAGGGTTAGTCATGCCATCGTATGACAGGTGACTGACCCCAAATCTATTTTCTCAGTAATGGTTTGTTTTTCTGCAAAAATTCAACATTGTTATCTGAAAGATAAATGCAGTGGAGGGTATTAGTCTAAAGTGAATGGGGGGGGGAGGGTCTCAGAATAATTAAGAAAATAATAATGGCTGTTCGTTAGTCATGCCATCGTAAGACAGGTGAGTAACTCCTTATCTATTTTTTCAGTAATGGTTTGTTTTTCTGTGAAGATTCAACATTGTTATCTGAAAGATAAATGCAATGTAGGGCATTAGTCTAAAGTGAATGGGAGTTGGGGAGGGGGGTTCTCAGGGTGATTAAGAAATAGTAATGGCTGTTCGTTAGTCCTAGATAAATTGCCTGATGCACTGTATGAAGATATGTACACATATTTTTTTAAGGGACAGGAACTGCTCTAGCTTATTAGTCCATGTCAAAGGGGGTGGGGATTTCAACGAGCCATCCAACCATAAGAATTTTAACGAGCCTTCCAGCCATAAGATAGAACGTCCTCTGCTCCCAGAGGCCATGCAAATGACAGCTGTACTGCTCCCTGGCTAAACCCTTGATTAAATCTGTATTTTAACACTGAACAATATTTTTTGGCCATAATTGATCATTTCAATGGAAAAAATTTGCTATGTTGAACCCATATTGTATTTACAGATGGCCTGGAAAGAACTGCACCATTTCGGCTCTCTGCCCAGGTGTGTATGTCTGATTCCGCTGTGTCTGGTGCCAGTTGTCTCTAAGAGGACATTGCACTCCACAGGTGGTTTGTGTGGCTTACGCTAAACTCCCATTTACAACCCTAATCCA